TAAGAATCGTATTTACACACTTTAGGTACTCAGATTGATTATTATAAAGAGGTAATAAATCTAAAGTAAAAGAGCTCCGCTTAAACGAAAAAAACTAATTCATTAAAATAAAACTAAAAGTTGAAAAAAAGTGGTTCAGTGCGAGTCGGACTCGCAGGCCCATGAAGAGTTCTGTAGTAACAAGCATATATTTTAAATCGAGTTAAAATACCACTATCATTATCGCCAGCAAACAATTATTTTGTTTTTCATAGTGTTTGTATAAATAACAAAGTTGTTTTTGCGGTTCTTTAAAATGGCTACTTGTATCTAAAAAAGGACTAATACATTATAGGGGTTCCTGTGGTTTATTATTTATATTGGTATATATTCATTACCAAGGAGAAATAACTTATTGCACAGAATGGGTTTTTATCCATTTTAAGTCATCAAAAACGGTAGTCAACCGTTAAAAACAAAAACAACCGTTGTTATAGGTTCGGTTGAAAGCGTTGACAACCTTCACATTTATAGTTATGATAATTAAACAAGCGAATTACTAGCTGATTTACCAAGAATTCTTTAGAGTGTAACCAAACGCTACTGCATAATTTAACTGTTATTCTTATCTGTTTTTAACATAACATTTAAAATGGAATCATGTTATGATAATTCAAGAAGTTAATTTCTAGCTGATTTACCATGAATTCAAAGCAAACAAAACAATACATTTGAAATAGAATTTCAATAAATAAAGGAAATTATATTTTAAAAAGCGTGCAGAACTTAAATCGCGTCGAGGATTATTCTTTTTATGATATTATTAATCGAATAAAAATCGATATCGTTTCATAGATTTTATGGCAGTTAAGTGGCAACATCGAATCTGACAGTTAGGCCCCTGTCACGGTCATGTCACAAGAATTCAATTGCGTGTTATCGTGTTATTTTGTTTTGTTGGAAAATGCAATTGTTGATCTCTCAACAATTGTTTCGAACACAACAGGTAAATAGTTGGTACATATCATGATGTGGCATGTCTTCCTCTAAGAAATGCTTTATAACTGAGTTTACTTGAATAATATCAATATAATAATTGTAGCTTCTTTATTAGGTACAAGTTTCGAGTACAGTGAACGTGTAGTGTGCCACTCGCAAAATGCACCAATAGTTCGTCTTGAACATGTATACATCAGCTGTGCACTGACAAGTCACTTATGAGAATAAGATCACACACATTGTTTGGGTTCGATTCTCCACGTGAGGAAGAATTTGCGCCACGTGAGGTAAGTGTTTAACATTTTACAATTTATTAAGTATGATGCTCATATCTGATAATTATACATGTTTTACACTGATTGTATATCAACTAAAGAACTTGTTTTATTTTTTCACATCTGCACAAGCTATAACTGACAAACATACTAGCTTATTTATGAGATTGACCATTTTTATCAACTACCAAATAAGGAGACAGTTGATTTTTCATTGTTTTTGGACTGCTGGTAGTCTGTCAGGCCTTAATTATTAAATAATATAGGGCATTAAGTCCGTCCTTGTGCAGTAACATTTAACTTGATAAATATTTTATTTATATTTGAGTTTAAAATAAATCTATTTTTTATTTTTATTTTTTTCACTTTGACTCATTTTTTTTTGTATTTTACATTATTTCAGTTGCCGTTGTTATGCCGTGTGTATCATAATTGCTGGCAATGAACTGATAGAACAGCACCACGTTCAACTGCAGAACGGGAACCATCTGAATCATCTAGTCCGTCCTCGTTGCAATCTGAAGTGAGTAATGTACCCAGAACAACAAAGCTTAGATCATACATCACACAGTGTACTGCTAACTAATTATTTAAAAGCACCACTAACACCAAATCAATGTTTTTTACCTGGTTGTAACAATTCCAATGGACTCACTGTTCCATCAGCATTGCGAGTATGTCTCTAATTACTATGTATGTGTGTTATACGTGGTAGAGCCATGCTGCAGTTATATTAGAAGTATAGTTGTAGCATGATTGGGTCGGGTCGGGGAAGGACCACGCTCTCACAGAATACCAGCGTAAAATAGTAGCTTAATGCTGCTGTGTTTTGTATGGTGAGTGTAGAGAATCGGAGACCTTTTTTACTGGAAACGAGAAAATGATGTTAGACCTCACGGGTGACAACGCATCTGCATTTTGATTTGTAATCGAGGATAGATGTGGATGTCTAAAGGCCGCAGCAATGTCTTCAGCAGATGGTGAATCTCCGTTGAGATAAATGACAAGATACGCTAATAAATCCAGAGCCGTGACTATGTGTCGATATGGGTAGTAGAGGTGGTGAATGGCATTTTTAACAGAACAGTATTTAAAATATTTCATCAAAATTACTTTAACTTCTACACATTTGATGATAGACTGCTGTGGCTGCTGCTATAATTAATAAATTCCACACAAAAATAAGGGACAGGGATGATGCGGCTCAAATACTTGAAATAGTTCACCAAAATATAGAGACAAATAATGATTTGTCTGAGTATGCTAGGGAAAGCAAACTAAATAGAGCTAGGGCAGGCAGACTTTAGAAATATAAATGCAGACTTTAAAATGTTAGGGAATTTCTGTTTTAACTTACAGCGACTTAATATTAATTGCTTGCGTCACGTAACAATTAAAGCAAGCTCACTACTATTATGGTGAGCATATAAGATTTAATGATTGCTTACTGGATAGAACTCTGTAATAACCAGAGGAACAGCATTATGGAAGGAATAAAGTTAAGCCCTAGCTGATCTTTACTTAGGGCTAGAATTGCAAGTCATCACCATTAGTCGCAAAAGTGTATATATATATATATATATATATATATATATATATATATATATATATATATTTAATTAGTGGTAATGGTTCTGGTAGAAGTGCAATTAAAAAGTACTATCGACCGTCGAACTGTTGGATGCTGTACCCATGTTATGACAGTAATATGGTATTTGGGTTGGGCACGGCATCAGACTAATATTTTGCTTCCTGCTCAGTTCCGGAATGATGTATTGATGTGTAAATTAGAGGCAAATAATTTCTTAGATTTCCTAGATGCGTTAGTCATCCAAAATTCTAACAACACCATAAGGTCACACTGTGTATAGAAAACAATGAATCTCACCACCATCCTTCACAGTTAGTTATAGCACTAATGGGTCGGCGCTTACGTCACAGTGACCGAGTGAAGCCGGCCACAGTCAAGCATGTGCAGTACTAGCATTTGTCAGAGGTGTCACAGACAAGATTGGCTACATCTTGAAGCGAGCTGACGTGAAGCATCAAAGTTCAGGGAAGTTTGCAGTTTGTTATCATATCCTGGACGGCCCCAACCAGATAGACATAAAAAAAGATTTGATAGACCACAAATCCTCTAAAAGGAACATCAATTCCTATCAAGCATGATATGTGAGACGATCGTATGGTCTCAGCATTTTGACACAATCTTGTTTATTATAAAGTAGTACATAAGTGAAAACTTGTAAATGGCCTTCATTTTGGTTATGATTATATTATTTTTGTAAATTAGCTGTAAGTTTTCCAAATAAATAATAAATAAATATGAAGGCGGTGAACACGCGGCCCGGCGTGCGCGCGCGTGCGGTCAATCTTCTCGACGGCCTGCTGCGCCGGAGTAGCAGTAGCGAGACTAACATTGTAACGTTGCACGTACATGTATGCATAATTATAATTAAACGGTTTATTAAAATTAAATAAACATTTAATAAACTAAATAAAAATAAAATAAAAGTTATTAACAAAAATAATTCTATATTTAACTTAGGTATCCTATTAATAAAACAAATCAGTAAACTAAAAGAACGAATTAAATAATAAATCAAATATTAAAATATTGTATTTCGAACAAACACTCTGACGCTTCGTTACTCTATGCGCTTTGCAACTCTCGCGTCAGAGTTTTACCCGGCCGGTATCATTCCACGGTCGCGCTCCCGGGCATTCTCCGCCCGAGCGCCCTGGGAGGCGCACACTACCACTGCAGCCGCGTTCACAAGCTCTGCTTTGTGTCCTCGTACGCGCTTGCAAATTTTAATCTCATTTTGGAAAAAGTTTAAAATAATATAATAATTCCGGCACTGTGGCCGTATAGTTTTTTCGTTAATTCTCGTCACCGAGACCTCCGTATCGTCTTGCACCCCGTAAGGGTAAGTGTTGAAACGTTACCTAGTTTTAAGTAGTGAAAGTGTTTTATAGGTAGTGTAATTTGATCATGCCAGGCTGTTTGCTTTTAGCTATTTAATTGCCAGGTTATTAGTGTTATTTCCATGTAAGTAATGTATGTAGCCGCTGTGTGCGTTGGCAAAAGTACCGTTACAAAATGGCGTCTCATACATTTCGCACCGCGATCAAATATCGCAAGTCACCATCATGTTTCAACCAATGCACAGCCTAAATTAGTTATCCTGGTACATTTAAACAGTATTTTACACTTGCCGTAATTTTAATTCATGTGTATTTTAATTTGCGCCTCACCGCTATGACGCTTGCCTTCCATTCCGCCTTGTAACTCCGTTCTGATTATGAACACCCGCCAGCTACTCTCTGTGCTCCCATCTACTGCTAGCCTGCGATATACCGGGGGTTCATAATCGGCGGCATTTTATTACCTGGACCTAAATGTGGACGACGTTGTTTCCAGGGTGCAATTTTACGACTACAACCGTGGCGGTCGTCCTTCTTAAGAGGGCCTAGGCCTCCCCTCGACGCCGCCACCGCCACAGCCAGCTGCCCACGGCGCTCCCCGTGAACAGTCCAACCCCCCGGCCCTGCTCGACCACCTCGCGGCCACATAGGGGAGTACCTGACCCTGCCAGTGAAGCCAGACGGGCAATTTTTTTTTAATTATCGGAACCACGCCCACGACCTTTTCTTTTACCAATATATAAATTTTTTTTTATGACTGGTTGTTGCCTTATTTTAAACAACAACCGTTGCAACATGTGTAGCAGTAGAGAGACTAACTTGTATATGAAGGCGGTGAACACGCGGCCGGCGTGCGCGCGCGTGCGGTCGATCTTCTCGACGGCCTGCTGCGCTGCGCCGCACAGCGCGCCGCGCACAACGCGCTCGCTGTTCTGCTGCGGCGCCTCCGCGGCACACTGCCGGCACACGCACAGCAAACCTGCCAACAGACACAACAATACTCCTATCTTATTTTTCATACAAAGCTTTATATTAACAATAGAAAGCAGTTTGGGGTTTTGGTGGGAACTTGATCGCCGATGAATTTACTGCTTTATTTTATAGGATAGGGTGACAAACGAGCACACAGTCAACCTGATGGTAAGTGGTTGCTGCGGCCCATAGACATCTACATATATCCTCGATTACGAATCAAAATGCAGACCCGTGAGGACTAAGATGGAATGCCTCGTTTCCAGTAAAAAGGGTCTCCGGTTGTCTACACTCACCATACGAAACACAGCATTAAGCTACTATTTTATGCTGGTATTTATTCTACGAGAGCGTGGTCTTTCCCCAGTCGAACCGACCCATTAGTGCTACAACTATATTCTACTAATATAACTGCAGCATGATGATTTCTTATATTTACGCGAACACTACACTTTGAAATAATACTAGTTTTTACGGAATTTATCGCGTATATTTAACTTTTTAAATACCCGACGTTTCGAACGCTTTACAGCACTCATGGTCACGGGCAGGACTGACATGTTCAACGTCCATATGTCATAGTTAACCGCGGTTACCATAGATTAAAATTTAACTTTTGTTCCGATCTATGCAGTATGAACTTATGGTATCTTGAAGTCTTGCAGTTGTATGCTTGGGTTGGGATTGAATTTTATTTATTATAGGATCCCAAGCAGATGGTAGCACCCAGCCATCTTCTCTATTGAAATTAGGATGTTTTTTGATTTCAATAGCCTCGCGAATCATCTTTGGAAGGAATCGGTGTTCTTTAGCGAGGATCTGCGGTCTATCAAATCTGATGTAGTGACGGGGGCGATCCTGTACGTGTTCACAGAGGTCTGTGAACACGTACAGGATCGACAGAAGATGGCTGGGTGCTACCATCTGCTTGGGATCCTATAATAAATAAAATTAAATCCCAACCCAAGCATACAACTGCAAGACTTCAAGATACCATAAGTTCATACTGCATAGATCGGAAAAAAAAGTTAAATTTTAATCTATGGTAACCGCGGTTAACTATGACATATGGACGTTGAACATCTCAGTCCTGCCCGTGACCATGAGTGCTGTAAAGCGTTCGAAACGTCGGGTATTTAAAAAGTTAAATATACGCGATAAATTTCGTAAAAACTAGTATTATTTTAACTGCAGCTTGGCTCTACCACGTATAAAAACCTGCTCCTGTTTGAATAATGGTTTGAAGTGGGTTTTAATACGTTAAAGTTGTGCGACTTAGTGCATTAAATGTCAACGTACGTAAAGTATTAGTGGGAACGATGAAACAAATAATCCGATAGTGTGAAATTTAAGTTATTGTACCCCTACTTTGACGCCTTTGAGCTAGCATATAGTTCAAACGCTCGTCAAAATCTCCCACAAACTTGTGAAGTTCCTCAAAGTCCCAGAAGAAATTTTGAAATAAATTATAATATGTGGATAATTTCTTATTACTTAAGAAAAAACCGGCTAGTTACCAAAGAAAAATAGAAAGATTTGGACATGATCTTCACATATCTAAATTTTATGTCGTAACACGACAACAGGAATAGGAAAACAGGCAATTCTAGACGAAGGAAGGTTCTTTATGGTTTCAATTAGATCACGGCATTACAAATACTAACAAGATGATAATTGTAATATATAATACTATAGACTTCATGATGAAGTATGTGCAAGGTTAGCATCGGAAAATACTTATAAAAAAGTTGGATATGCCCTAAGTCAAGACACTGGTACTGAGCACGCCACTGCAATTTTTTTTTAAATATTATAATGGTGACAAACGAGCACACAGTTCACCTGATGGCAAGTGAATGCTTTAGCCAATATGGCTGCGCCAACGAACACCCTCGCATTTTGTATTAGTTAGTTATGCTAGCCGGTGTAACCTCTCCTCACTTCTGTTACCTTCCCGCACGGGCCTGTCTAATGGGGGGCTACATTGATGGCCTCATTTTGTTCCTCCAATGAGAAGCGCGCTCGGCAAAAGTGAAAGGAGACAGCACGCCGCCTGCGCACAGCGGCAGTGGCAGTCAAACCACAGAACAGTACAAACTTTCGTTATGACCGCTTGCCACCGTGCAATACAACTCGTCGTGGAGTTCAAACAGTCAACCCCAGTGCATATTCGTCGCGCACCGCCCCAGTTGCAACACAGTTTTCATCACCTCACAAGACCGTAGAGAGGCCGTTAGCAGCTACCCCAGCTAAGTGCCCGTTCCATCATCTTGAACTGTTTTTATTTGCTGTTCCCTTTTCCACAGCAGCTCATGTTTCCGTCGTGCCGGCTGACATATTACATTAAATTTATAGCGAGTATATATGTCCAAAGACCGCCTCGTGCCGCGTCCGCCATTTTGTTTTGGTTTATAACGAACCATGCTGATACAGTCCACCTAATTGTTCAACCTGGAACACCTTTCGTGATTCGCGCAACCATAATTAGTGGTCCTTCAATCCGGATTCGAACCAGGCACCTATAGCCCGACCACCACATGTGGCCCAAAATGCAGATGCGTTTTCACCCCTGAGAACTAAGACGGAATTCCTCGAATCCAGTAAAACGGATTTTGGTTCTCTACACTCACCATACGAAACAAAGCAGAATCAAGCTGCTATTTTACGCTGGTATTCTGTGAGAGCGTGGTCCTTCCCCGGTCGAGCCGACCCATTCGTGCTACAACCATAATATAGCTCCAGCGTGGCTCTATTAATTCATCTGGCGTCATCGTCATCACATATCCCAATTCGTTAGCGATACTTTTTTTCATTATTTCTAGCAATATCGTCAAGTGGAGACGAAGCTAGTAAAGTAATTTACATGTAAAATATATGATGTCTCCATACATATGAATAAAAAATCACGAACAAAATATTTATTTCTACAATACAATATTTTTACAGATAATGTGCGATAAAAACTGAAGTTACGAGGAGGACATATTGTATCACTAGCGCGTCGCATCGATTAATTAGAAAGTGTCAACTAGGGACGTTACGGAAGTGGTTACATCGCAACCGGATTCGGAAGCAGTTTTTAAATTTGGTTGTCGGAACCAGAACCGGAATCGGAGGTGTAGGCAGAAGAGATAGGTATGTGTTAAGGGCACGTCTATTAAAATAAAATTACTCGCATTATTCATCACAAATATATTCGGTAAAAAACTCTCTTGGCCTTAACTGATAATTCGGCACTATGAACTGCATAAGTCGTCTGAATCCAATACCTTCCACAAAATTGAAGGGAAGATCCTGCAAAGCAATCATTTCAGCGAGGTTCCCGCACGATAAGTTTAAACTTGTTCGTATGCGCTGATAGCGGCCGCCACCGCCGCTATGCATCGACCTCCGATATAACTTCCGATTAAAATTTATCGGAACCGCAATCGGAATCGAAGGTGCATAATCAATCGGAAGTTCCAAACTTTCGGAATCGGAATCGAACCTCCGTAACATCTCTAGTGCGTGGGATAATAATGTTACACTCACCAGATGTCGCTAGCTGGGACTAAGATAAACTTATTTGTTGGCATATTCCGTTTATCCACCCTAAAAAGTCCACCCAGAGATGTATACTTTCTTATTGCACTAATAATAAAAAATATTCATACGTCTATGCGCGGTCGTCTCTTAAACATCAGTTGTGTGTGTTGCGAAATATACCCACTACGAACAATTCTTCTCAAACAACCGTCGTTATGGCACTAATTCCGCAGAATATTTGCAACAAAACAATTACGAAAAAGGCGCCAGGTGTTGAGTGTAGTGTATGTAAAAAAATGGTTTTTGCTACTACACGTTGTGCAACTCTAACTACCAAACAAATAAACGCGCTGTGTGCTCAAACCAGGTTGAACTGGATAAAGACTGCCTGAAAAATCGTCCACGAAACAATTCTTTTATAGTACCAGAGGAGGATTCTGAGGAGGAGTAAGAATTACCAGCCAACAACACGCATTCCGTAAGTGGTATCCCAGGCTTGCAAACTACCTTGCATACTATTGATATTAAAAAAAAAACTACTGAAGGATATTTCCAAAGAGGTTGACAAAACAGTTGCAAAGGCGCTAAAGCCTTTCACTGACAAAATGGACGAAATATGCGAAAATATCGAATCATTTTAACAAAGAATAATTGAACTTGAAAAGAAAAATGCCTCACTTACAAACGCTGACAAAAATATGGAAACCCGACTGTGTGCAAAGGAATAGCAAATCCATGAAGTTGAGCAAGGCCAGCTTAAAACAGTATGTGAGTTTCCGGATTACCGGCCCTAGCAAACGAAGATGCTATACTAATTGTGAGAAATCTAGCAAACAAGTTAAACATAGAAAACCCAGGAGTAAACATGAAAACTCCGAAACGTGTAGGAAACTACGGAGAAAAACCAGGATATATTCCGGTGGAGTTTCAGGAGGAAAAACGTTGCTGTTACTACTACTATACTACTAATATAAACGCAGCATGGCTCTACCACGTACAAAAAGTTTTTTTAAAATTCAATATAGATTATAAATAATAATCTATATTGAATTTAAAGTTCTATTAATACGTACCGGTCATGCTTGCTTCTCGAACCCAAGCGCCTATATCGCCTCTCATATCAATCGTATACTCCGACATGCAGTCTAGTAACGCATCCACGATTTCTTCAACATACTTTTCCACTCCTCCTACAACTCCCAGCGTCTGACAAACTTCAGTCAATCCTATAACGGCGTCACGTCTAGACTCCGCCCACTTAGACGTCGCTTCTGTCACTTTAGTGCATTCGATGAGCGATTTAATAACTACAGGAAGATGTTCGGCTAGCACGAATTTGGGTAGAGAACCTGCAAAAAAGATTTTTAAATTAAAAATAATTAATGTAAGTCGTAAATAAGATCTATTAAAAATAAGCTTTGATTCCAATATTGATTGAACGCAAGTAAACATTCTTAACATAGTTACTGGATTTAAATCCACCAGCATCGAAAAATATATCATCTTACCTACAGCCCGTGCATATCCCATTCTAATTACAAGTCCATTAACGCCAGTGCATTGCAGCTGTTCGCAGTACCTCTCCATAAGTTGTGTGCGTTTCTGCTTGGCCGTTATGTCGCCATACATGCGAGTGTCGTCGCGCAAGTACTGGTCGAACAATAGCGGTAGTGCCTTGATTGCTTTCTCACGTATCACTTGAACTTCGTGAGCGAGACACTCCTCGATTAGGTTAAGCCATTCGTCTGAAAAAAGGAATGTATTGTTTAAAAAAAAACTAAAATTTGAAACATAAATTTGCATTATTACCGATCCTTAACATCCGATACACTAAAATCTTATTTCTTCTCCTTTGCTGTACGTATTACGAACGACAAAACAAACAGTTTATTTCGAAAATATATAAATATAGTATATATAGTACATATTACATAAAATTAAATTTTATGTATATAGTAATATTAATATATGAAGTGAAATCTTTGCAATCCTTATTAAGCATACTGTGTACGCACGGAGGACTATTTTTTAATATGATATCCGTTCCAAATACATAAAATGAAATAAAACATTAAATGTTTACGTTCATATAATGTATGTGTGTGTGTGTGCTTGGTTGGTGTGTGTGCGTGTGTGTGCGTGTGTGCTGGCGTGTGCGTGTGCGTGTGCTGTGTGTGGTGGTGGTTGTGTTTGTGCGTGCGTGCGTGCGTGCGTGCGTGTGTGTGTGTGTGTGTGTGTATGTCAAATACATAATTGTCGGTGGTCAATCAAACTCATAGAGTAAAGATAGTCAGGAGCACACGATGCTTAATGGGTACTTGAGCGTCGTCGTCCCAACTATTAGATTAGATTGGATTGGATTAGATTTTACATGATTGACTGAAAAAAAGGTATATCATATAGACCTGTAGGCACTTTCACAGGTGGGGAAAGAGTTTACAGGTTTACAGTGTTAAAAAAATTGTCACAAGGTAATATTCGTCATATTATATGCTATGCTATGTTTCCCTGACGATCTGTCTGTCGGGCTTCAGTAAATCCCAAAATCCCTATTGAGCTCCACTGTTACGCTCCCCTACTAAGATTGTCTCCAAAGAATTTTAACATGATTCCAATAAAACAATTATCGACAGAATGGGTGAACTTTGTGTGATTTAAATGTTCCTTATTTAACAGTCTGTGGAAAGTGAAAAAAACTTTTATTTTATACTTGATGTCAGTAATTTATATATTATCAATGTGAAGTTGGAAGTTAAATACAGCTTGAGTATGTAATAAAAAAACTAAAAAATTTCATGAATTATGGTCGAATTCCGTCCACTGGGCGGCCACTAGTATATATTCATAGTGGGTGCACGTGCAGCGGCAGCACGCCTGGCGCACTGCGCAAGGGTTCTCAGCGTTACGTACCGATGACTTGCGGGTGCACGTGCAGCAGCAGCACGCCTGGCGCACTGCGCAAGGGTTCTCAGCGTTACGTACCGATGACGTGCGGGTGCACGTGCAGCGGCAGCACGCCTGGCGCACTGCTCAAGGGTTCTCAGCGTTACGTACCGATGACTTGCGGGTGCACGTGCAGCAGCAGCACGCCTGGCGCACTGCGCAAGGGTTCTCAGCGTTACGTGCCGATGACGTGCGGGTGCACGTGCAGCGGCAGCACGCCTGGCGCACTGCGCATGGGTTCTCAGCGTTACGTACCGATGACGTGCGGGTGCACGTGCAGCAGCAGCACGCCTGGCGCACTGCGCAAGGGTTCTCAGCGTTACGTACCGATGACGTGCGGGTGCACGTGCAGCGGCAGCACGCCTGGCGCACTGCGCAAGGGTTCTCAGCGTTACGTACCGATGACGTGCGGGTGCACGTGCAGCGGCAGCACGCCTGGCGCACTGCGCAAGGGTTCTCAGCGTTACGTACCGACGACGTGCGGGTGCACGTGCAGCAGCAGCACGCCTGGCGTACTGCGCAAGGGTTCTCAGCGTTACGTACCGATGACGTGCGGGTGCACGTGCAGCGGCAGCACGCCTGGCGCACTGCTCAAGGGTTCTCAGCGTTACGTACCGATGACTTGCGGGTGCACGTGCAGCGGCAGCACGCCTGGCGCACTGCGCAAGGGTTCTCAGCGTTACGTACCAATGACGTGCGGGTGCACGTGCAGCGGCAGCACGCCTGGCGCACTGCGCAAGGGTTCTCAGAGTTACGTACCGATGACTTGCGGGTGCACGTGCAACAGCAGCACGCCTGGCGCACTGTGCAAGGGTTCTCAGCGTTACGTACCGATGACCTGCGGGTGCACGTGCAGCGGCAGCAAGCCTGGCGCACTGCGCAAGGGTTCTCAGCGTTACGTACCGATGACGTGCGGGTGCACGTGCAGCAGCAGCACGCCTGGCGCCAAGGGTTCTCAGCGTTACGTACCGATGACGTGCGGGTGCACGTGCAGCGGCAGCACGCCTGGCGCACTGCGCAAGGGTTCTCAGCGTTACGTACCGATGACGTGCGGGTGCACGTGCAGCGGTAGCACGCCTGGCGCACTGCGCAAGGGTTCTCAGCGTTACGTACCGATGACGTGCGGGTGCACGTGCAGCGGCAGCACGCCTGGCGCACTGCGCAAGGGTTCTCAGCGTTACGTACCGATGACATGCGGGTGCACGTGCAGCGGCAGCACGCCTGGCGCACTGCGCAAGGGTTCTCAGCGTTACGTACCGACGACGTGCGGGTGCACGTGCAGCGGCAGCACGCCTGGCGCACTGCGCCAGGGTTCTCAGAGTTACGTACCGATGACTTGCGGGTGCACGTGCAGCGGCAGCACGCCGGGCGCACGGCGCAAGGGGTCTCAGCGTTACGTACCGACGACGTGCGGGTGCACGTGCAGCGGCAGCACGCCTGGCGCACTGCGCAAGGGTTCTCAGCGTTACGTACCAGTGACGTGCGGGTGCACGTGCAGCAGCAGCACGCCTGGCGCCAAGGGTTCTCAGCGTTACGTACCGATGACGTGCGGGTGCACGTGCAGCGGCAGCACGCCTGGCGCACTGCGCAAGGGTTCTCAGCGTTACGTACCAGTGACGTGCGGGTGCACGTGCAGCAGCAGCACGCCTGGCGCCAAGGGTTCTCAGCGTTACGTACCGATGACCTGCGGGTGCACGTGCAGCGGCAGCAAGCCTGGCGCACTGCGCAAGGGTTCTCAGCGTTACGTACCGATGACGTGCGGGTGCACGTGCAGCGGCAGCACGCCTGGCGCACTGCGCAAGGGTTCTCAGCGTTACGTACCGATGACTTGCGCGTGCACGTGAAGCGGCAGCACGCCTGGCGCACTGCGCAAGGTTTCTCAGCGTTACGTACCGATGACCTGCGGGTGCACGTGCAGCGGCAGCAAGCCTGGCGCACTGCGCAAGGGTTCTCCGTTACGTACCGATACGTGCGGGTGCGTGCCACGCTGGCGCACTGCGCAAGGGTTCTCAACGTTACGTACCATGACTTGCACTGCGCGCTTGCGATGACGTGCGTGCCTGCCGCACGCCTGGCGCACTGCACAAGGGTTCTCAGCGTTACGTACCGATGACGTGCGGGTGCACGTGCAGCGGCAGCACGCCTGGCGCACTGCGCAAGGGTTCTCAGCGTTACGTACCAATGACGTGCGGGTGCACGTGCAGCAGCAGCACGCCTGGCGCCAAGGGTTCTCAGCGTTACGTACCGATGACGTGTGGGTGCACGTGCAGCGGCAGCACGCCTGGCGCACTGCGCAAGGGTTCTCAGCGTTACGTACCGATGACATGCGGGTGCACGTGCAGCGGCAGCACGCCTGGCGCACTGCGCAAGGGTTCTCAGCGTTACGTACCGACGACGTGCGGGTGCACGTGCAGCGGCAGCACGCCTGGCGCACTGCGCAAGGGTTCTCAGAGTTACATACCGATGACTTGCGGGTGCACGTGCAGCGGCAGCACGCCTGGCGCACTGCGCAAGGGTTCTCAGCGTTACGTACCGACGACGTGCGGGTGCACGAGCAGCGGCAGCACGCCTGGCGCACTGCGCAAGGGTTCTCAGCGTTACGTACCAATGACGTGCGGGTGCACGTGCAGCGGCAGCACGCCTGGCGCACTGCGCAAGGGTTCTCAGCGTTACGTACCGATAACCTGCGGGTGCACGTGCAGCGGCAGCAAGCCTGGCGCACTGCGCAAGGGTTCTCAGCGTTACGTACCGATGACGTGCGGGTGCACGTGCAGCGGCAGCACGCCTGGCGCACTGCGCAAGGGTTCTCAGCGTTACGTACCGATGACTTGCGCGTGCACGTGAAGCGGCAGCACGCCTGGCGCACTGCGCAAGGGTTCTCAGCGGTACGTACCAGTGACGTGCGGGTGCACTTGCAGCAGCAGCACGCCTGGCGCACGGCGCAAGGGTTCTCAGCGTTACGTACCGATGACTTGCGCGTGCACGTGAAGCGGCAGCACGCCTGGCGCACTGCGCAAGGGTTCTCAGCGTTACGTACCAGTGACGTGCGGGTGCACGTGCAGCAGCAGCACGCCTGGCGCCAAGGGTTCTCAGCGTTACGTACCGATGACATGCGGGTGCACGTGCAGCGGCAGCACGCCTGGCGCACTGCGCAAGGGTTCTCAGCGTTACGTACCGATGACATGCGGGTGCACGTGCAGCGGCAGCACGCCTGGCGCACTGCGCAAGGGTTCTCAGTGTTACGTACCGACGACGTGCGGGTGCACGTGCAGCGGCAGCACGCCTGGCGCACTGCGCAAGGGTTCTCAGAGTTACGTACCGATGACTTGCGGGTGCACGTGCAACAGCAGCACGCCTGGCGCACTGTGCAAGGGTTCTCAGCGTTACGTACCGATGACCTGCGGGTGCACGTGCAGCGGCAGCAAGCCTGGCGCACTGCGCAAGGGTTCTCAGCGTTACGTACCGATGACGTGCGGGTGCACGTGCAGCAGCAGCACGCCTGGCGCCAAGGGTTCTCAGCGTTACGTACCGATGACGTGCGGGTGCACGTGCAGCGGCAGCACGCGCCTGGCGCACTGTGCAAGGGTTCTCAGCGTTACGTACCGATGACCTGCGGGTGCACGTGCAGCGGCAGCAAGCCTGGCGCACTGCGCAAGGGTTCTCAGCGTTACGTACCGATGACGTGCGGGTGCACGTGCAGCAGCAGCACGCCTGGCGCCAAGGGTTCTCAGCGTTACGTACCGATGACGTGCGGGTGCACGTGCAGCGGCAGCACGCCTGGCGCACTGCGCAAGGGTTCTCAGCGTTACGTACCGATGACATGCGGGTGCACGTGCAGCGGCAGCACGCCTGGCGCACTGCGCAAGGGTTCTCAGCGTTACGACCGATGACATGCGGGTGCACGTGCAGCGGCAGCACGCCTGGCGCACTGCGCAAGGGTTCTCAGTGTTACGTACCGACGACGTGCGGGTGCACGTGCAGCGGCAGCACGCCTGGCGCACTGCGCAAGGGTTCTCAGAGTTACGTACCGATGACTTGCGGGTGCACGTGCAACAGCAGCACGCCTGGCGCACTGTGCAAGGGTTCTCAGCGTTACGTACCGATGACCTGCGGGTGCACGTGCAGCGGCAGCAAGCCTGGCGCACTGCGCAAGGGTTCTCAGCGTTACGTACCGATGACGTGCGGGTGCACGTGCAGCAGCAGCACGCCTGGCGCCAAGGGTTCTCAGCGTTACGTACCGATGACGTGCGGGTGCACGTGCAGCGGCAGCACGCCTGGCGCACTGCGCAAGGGTTCTCAGCGTTACGTACCGATGACATGCGGGTGCACGTGCAGCGGCAGCACGCCTGGCGCACTGCGCAAGGGTTCTCAGCGTTACGTACCGACGACGTGCGGGTGCACGTGCAGCGGCAGCACGCCTGGCGCACTGCGCAAGGGTTCTCAGAGTTACGTACCGATGACTTGCGGGTGCACGTGCAGCGGCAGCACGCCTGGCGCACTGCGCAAGGGTTCTCAGCGTTACGTACAGACGACGTGCGGGTGCACGTGCAGCGGCAGCACGCCTGGCGCACTGCGCAAGGGTTCTCAGCGTTACGTACCAGTGACGTGCGGGTGCACGTGCAGCAGCAGCACGCCTGGCGCCAAGGGTTCTCAGCGTTACGTACCGATGACGTGCGGGTGCACGTGCAGCGGCAGCACGCCTGGCGCACTGCGCAAGGGTTCTCAGCGTTACGTACCAGTGACGTGCGGGTGCACGTGCAGCAGCAGCACGCCTGGCGCCAAGGGTTCTCAGCGTTACGTACCGATGACCTGCGGGTGCACGTGCAGCGGCAGCAAGCCTGGCGCACTGCGCAAGGGTTCTCAGCGTTACGTACCAATGACGTGCGGGTGCACGTGCAGGGCAGCACGCCTGGCGCACGCGCAAGGGTTCTCAGCGTTACGTACCGATGACCTGGCGGGTGCAAGTGCAGCGGCAGCAAGCCTGGCGCACTGCGCAAGGGTTCTCAGCGTTACGTACCGATGACGTGCGGGTGCACGTGCAGCGGCAGCACGCCTGGCGCACTGCGCAAGGGTTCTCAGCGTTACGTACCGATGACTTGCGCGTGCACGTGAAGCGGCAGCACGCCTGGCGCACTGCGCAAGGTTTCTCAGCGTTACGTACCAGTGACGTGCGGGTGCACGTGCAGCGGCAGCACGCCTGGCGCACTGCGCAAGGGTTCTCAGCGTTACATACCGATGACGTGCGGGTGCACGTGCAGCGGCAGCACGCCTGACGCACTGCACAAGGGTTCTCAGCGTAACGTACCGATGACGTGCGGGTGCACGTGCAGCGGCCACACGCCTGACGCACTGCACAAGGGTTCTCAGCGTAACGTACCGATTACGTGCGGGTGCACGTGCAGCGGAAGCACGCCTGGCGCACTGCGCAAGGGTATTCTCAGCGTTACGTACCGATGACTTGCGGGTGCACGTGCAGCGGTAGCACGCCTGGCGCACTGCGCAAGGGTTCTCAGCGTTACGTACCGACGACGTGCGGGTGCACGTGCAGCAGCAGCACGCCTGGCGCACTGCGCAAGGGTTCTCAGCGTTACGTACCGACGACGTGACGTGCAGCGACAGCACGCCTGGCGCACTGCGCAAGGGTTCTCAGCGTTACGTACCGATGACGTGCGGGTGCACGTGCAGCGGCAGCACGCCTGGAGCACTGCGCAAGGGTTCTCAGCGTTACGTACCGATGACTTGCGGGTGCACGTGCAGCAGTAGCACGCCTGGCGCACTGCACAAGGGTTCTCAGCGTAACGTACCGATTACGTGTGGGTGCACGTGCAGCGGCAGTGCGCCTGGCGCACTGCGCAAGGGTTCTCAGCGTTACGTACCGATGACGTGCGGGTGCACGTGCAGCGGCAGCACGCCTGGCGCACTGCGCAAGGGTTCTCAGAGTTACGTACCGATGACTTACGGGTGCACGTGCAGCAGCAGCACGCCTGGCGCACTGCGCAAGGATTCTCAGCGTTACGTACCGATGACGTGCGGGTGCACGTGCAGCGGCAGCACGCCTGGCGCACTGCGCAAGGGTTCTCAGCGTTACGTACCGATGACTTCCGGGTGCACGTGCAGCCGCAGCACGCCTAGCGCACTGCGCAAGGGTTCTCAGCGTTACGTACCGATGACATGCGGGTGCACGTGCAGCGGCAGCACGCCTGGCGCACTGCGCAAGGGTTCTCAGCGTAACGTACCGATTACGTGCGGGTGCACGTGTAGCGGAACACCGCCTGGCGCACTGCGCAAGGGTTCTCAGCGTTACGTACCGATGACTTGCGGGTGCACGTGCAGCAGCAGCACGCCTGGCGCACTGCGCAAGGGTTCTCAGCGTTACCTACCGATGACGTGCGGGTGCACGTGCAGCGGCAGCACGCCTGGCGCACTGCGCAAGGGTTCTCAGCGTTACGTACCGATGACTTGCGCGTGCACGTGAAGCGGCAGCACGCCTGGCGCACTGCGCAAGGGTTCTCAGCGTTACGTACCAGTGACGTGCGGGTGCACGTGCAGCAGCAGCACGCCTGGCGCCAAGGGTTCTCAGCGTTACGTACCGATGACCTGCGGGTGCACGTGCAGCGGCAGCAAGCCTGGCGCACTGCGCAAGGGTTCTCAGCGTTACGTACCGATGACGTGCGGGTGCACGTGCAGCGGCAGCACGCCTGGCGCACTGCGCAAGGGTTCTCAGCGTTACGTACCGATGACTTGCGCGTGCACGTGTAGCGGCAGCACGCCTGGCGCACTGCGCAAGGTTTCTCAGCGTTACGTACCAGTGACGTGCGGGTGCACGTGCAGCGGCAGCACGCCTGGCGCACTGCGCAAGGGTTCTCAGCGTTACATACCGATGACGTGCGGGTGCACGTGCAGCGGCAGCACGCCTGACGCACTGCACAAGGGTTCTCAGCGTAACGTACCGATGACGTGCGGGTGCACGTGCAGCGGCCACACGCCTGACGCACTGCACAAGGGTTCTCAGCGTAACGTACCGATTACGTGCGGGTGCACGTGCAGCGGAAGCACGCCTGGCGCACTGCGCAAGGGTATTCTCAGCGTTACGTACCGATGACTTGCGGGTGCACGTGCAGCGGTAGCACGCCTGGCGCACTGCGCAAGGGTTCTCAGCGTTACGTACCGATCACGTGCGGGTGCACGTGCAGCAGCAGCACGCCTGGCGCACTGCGCAAGGGTTCTCAGCGTTATGTACCGACGCCGTGACGTGCAGCGGCAGCACGCCTGGCGCACTGCGCAAGGGTTCTCAGCGTTACGTACCGATGACGTGCGGGTGCACGTGCAGCGGCAGCACGCCTGGAGCACTGCGCAAGGGTTCTCAGCGTTACGTACCGATGACTTGCGGGTGCACGTGCAGCAGTAGCACGCCTGGCGCACTGCACAAGGGTTCTCAGCGTAACGTACCGATTACGTGTGGGTGCACGTGCAGCGGCAGTGCGCCTGGCGCACTGCGCAAGGGTTCTCAGCGTTACGTACCGATGACGTGCGGGTGCACGTGCAGCGGCAGCACGCCTGGCGCACTGCGCAAGGGTTCTCAGAGTTACGTACCGATGACTTGCGGGTGCACGTGCAGCGGCAGCACGCCTGGCGCACTGCGCAAGGGTTCTCAGCGTTACGTACCGACGACGTGCGGGTGCACGTGCAGCGGCAGCACGCCTGGCGCACTGCGCAAGGGTTCTCAGCGTTACGTACCAATGACGTGCGGGTGCACGTGCAGCGGCAGCACGCCTGGCGCACTGCGCAAGGGTTCTCAGCGTTACGTACCGATGACCTGCGGGTGCACGTGCAGCGGCAGCAAGCCTGGCGCACTGCGCAAGGGTTCTCAGCGTTACGTACCGATGACGTGTGGGTGCACGTGCAGCGGCAGCACGCCTGGCGCACTGCGCAATGGTTCTCAGCGTTACGTACCGATGGGTTCTCAGCGTTACGTACCGATGACGTGTGGGTGCACGTGCAGCGGCAGCACGCCTGGCGCACTGCGCAAGAGTTCTCAGCGTTACGTACCGATGACTTGCGGGTGCACGTGCAGCGGCAGCACGCCTGGCGCACTGCGCATGGGTTCTCAGCGTTACGTACCGATGACTTGCGGGTGCACGTGCAGCGGCAGTACGCTTGGCGCACTGCGCAAGTTTCTCAGCGTTACGTACCGATGACGTGCGGGTGCACGTGCAGCAGCAGCACGCCTGGCGCACTGCACAAGGGTTCTCAGCGTAACGTACCGACGACGTGACGTGCAGCGACAGCACGCCTGGCGCACTGCGCAAGGGTTCTCAGCGTTACGTACCGATGACGTGCGGGTGCACGTGCAGCGGCAGCACGCCTGGCGCACTGCGCATGGGTTCTCAGCGTTACGTACCGATGACTTGCGGGTGCACGTGCAGCGGCAGTACGCTTGGCGCACTGCGCAAGTTTCTCAGCGTTACGTACCGATGACGTGCGGGTGCACGTGCAGCGGCAGCACGCCTGGCGCACTGCGCAAGGGTTCTCAGAGTTACGTACCGATGACGTGCGGGTGCACGTGCAGCAGCAGCACGCCTGGCGCACTGCGCAAGGGTTCTCAGCGTTACGTACCGATGACGTGCGGGTGCACGTGCAGCAGCAGCACGCCTGGCGCACTGCGCAAGGGTTCTCAGCGTTACGTACCGATGACGTGCGGGTGCACGTGCAGCGGCAGCACGCCTGACGCACTGCGCAAGGGTTCTCAGCGTTACGTACCGATGACGTGCGGGTGCACGTACAGCGGCAGCACGCCTGGCGCACTGCGCAAGGGTTCTCAGCGTTACGTACCGATGACGTGCGAGTGCACGTGCAGCGGCAGCACGCCTGGCGCACTGCGCACGGGTTCTCAGCGTTACGTACCGACGACGTGCGGGTACACGTGCAGCAGCAGCACGCCTGGCGCACTGCGCAAGAGTTCTCAGCGTTACGTACCGATGACGTGCGGGTGCACGTGCAGCGGCAGCACGCCTGGCGCACTGCGCATGGGTTCTCAGCGTTACGTACCGATGACTTGCGGGTGCACGTGCAGCGGCAGTACGCTTGGCGCACTGCGCAAGTTTCTCAGCGTTACGTACCGATGACGTGCGGGTGCACGTGCAGCAGCAGCACGCCTGGCGCACTGCACAAGGGTTCTCAGCGTAACGTACCGACGACGTGACGTGCAGCGACAGCACGCCTGGCGCACTGCGCAAGGGTTCTCAGCGTTACGTACCGATGACGTGCGGGTGCACGTGCAGCGGCAGCACGCCTGGCGCACTGCGCATGGGTTCTCAGCGTTACGTACCGATGACTTGCGGGTGCACGTGCAGCGGCAGTACGCTTGGCGCACTGCGCAAGTTTCTCAGCGTTACGTACCGATGACGTGCGGGTGCACGTGCAGCGGCAGCACGCCTGGCGCACTGCGCAAGGGTTCTCAGAGTTACGTACCGATGACATGCGGGTGCACGTGCAGCAGCAGCACGCCTGGCGCACTGCGCAAGGGTTCTCAGCGTTACGTACCGATGACGTGCGGGTGCACGTGCAGCAGCAGCACGCCTGGCGCACTGCGCAAGGGTTCTCAGCGTTACGTACCGATGACGTGCGGGTGCACGTGCAGCGGCAGCACGCCTGACGCACTGCGCAAGGGTTCTCAGCGTTACGTACCGATGACGTGCGGGTGCACGTGCAGCGGCAGCACGCCTGGCGCACTGCGCAAGGGTTCTCAGCGTTACGTACCGATGACGTGCGAGTGCACGTGCAGCGGCAGCACGCCTGGCGCACTGCGCACGGGTTCTCAGCGTTACGTACCGACGACGTGCGGGTACACGTGCAGCAGCAGCACGCCTGGCGCACTGCGCAAGAGTTCTCAGCGTTACGTACCGATGACTTGCGGGTGCACGTGCAGCGGCAGCACGCCTGGCGCACTGCGCATGGGTTCTCAGCGTTACGTACCGATGACTTGCGGGTGCACGTGCAGCGGCAGTACGCTTGGCGCACTGCGCAAGTTTCTCAGCGTTACGTACCGATGACGTGCGGGTGCACGTGCAGCAGCAGCACGCCTGGCGCACTGCACAAGGGTTCTCAGCGTAACGTACCGACGACGTGACGTGCAGCGACAGCACGCCTGGCGCACTGCGCAAGGGTTCTCAGCGTTACGTACCGATGACGTGCGGGTGCACGTGCAGCGGCAGCACGCCTGGCGCACTGCGCATGGGTTCTCAGCGTTACGTACCGATGACATGCGGGTGCACGTGCAGCGGCAGTACGCTTGGCGCACTGCGCAAGTTTCTCAGCGTTACGTACCGATGACGTGCGGGTGCACGTGCAGCGGCAGCACGCCTGGCGCACTGCGCAAGGGTTCTCAGAGTTACGTACCGATGACGTGCGGGTGCACGTGCAGCAGCAGCACGCCTGGCGCACTGCGCAAGGGTTCTCAGCGTTACGTACCGATGACGTGCGGGTGCACGTGCAGCAGCAGCACGCCTGGCGCACTGCGCAAGGGTTCTCAGCGTTACGTACCGATGACGTGCGGGTGCACGTGCAGCGGCAGCACGCCTGACGCACTGCGCAAGGGTTCTCAGCGTTACGTACCGATGACGTGCGGGTGCACGTGCAGCGGCAGCACGCCTGGCGCACTGCGCAAGGGTTCTCAGCGTTACGTACCGATGACGTGCGAGTGCACGTGCAGCGGCAGCACGCCTGGCGCACTGCGCACGGGTTCTCAGCGTTACGTACCGACGACGTGCGGGTACACGTGCAGCAGCAGCACGCCTGGCGCACTGCGCAAGAGTTCTCAGCGTTACGTACCGATGACTTGCGGGTGCACGTGCAGCGGCAGCACGCCTGGCGCACTGCGCATGGGTTCTCAGCGTTACGTACCGATGACTTGCGGGTGCACGTGCAGCGGCAGTACGCTTGGCGCACTGCGCAAGTTTCTCAGCGTTACGTACCGATGACGTGCGGGTGCACGTGCAGCAGCAGCACGCCTGGCGCACTGCACAAGGGTTCTCAGCGTAACGTACCGACGACGTGACGTGCAGCGACAGCACGCCTGGCGCACTGCGCAAGGGTTCTCAGCGTTACGTACCGATGACGTGCGGGTGCACGTGCAGCGGCAGCACGCCTGGCGCACTGCGCATGGGTTCTCAGCGTTACGTACCGATGACTTGCGGGTGCACGTGCAGCGGCAGTACGCTTGGCGCACTGCGCAAGTTTCTCAGCGTTACGTACGGGCCCGATGACGTGCGGGTGCACGTGCAGCGGCAGCACGCCTGGCGCACGGAAGGCGCGGCGCACTGGCAAGGGTTCTCAGCGTTACGTACCGATGACGTGCGGGTGCACGTGCAGCAGCAGCACGCCTGGCGCACTGCGCAAGAGTTCTCAGCGTTACGTACCGATGACGTGCGGGTGCACGTGCAGCGGCAGCACGCCTGGCGCACTGCGCAAGGGTTCTCAGCGTTACGTACCGATGACGTGCGGGTGCACGTGCAGCGGCAGCACGCCTGGCGCACTGCGCAAGGGTTCTCAGCGTTACGTACCGATGACTTGCGGGTGCACGTGCAGCGGCAGCACGCCTGGCGCACTGCGCAAGGGTTCTCAGCGTTACGTACCGATGACTTGCGAGTGCACGTGCAGCGGCAGCACGCCTGGCGCACTGCGCACGGGTTCTCAGCGTTACGTACCGATGACTTGCGGGTACACGTGCAGCAGCAGCACGCCTGGCGCACTGCGCAAGGGTTCTCAGCGTTACGTACCGATGACGTGACGTGCAGCGGCAGCACGCCTGGCGCACTGCGCAAGGGTTCTCAGCGTTACGTACCGATGACGTGCGGGTGCACGCCTGGCGCACTGCGCAAGGGTTCTCAGCGTTACGTACCGATGACTTGCGGGTGCACGTGCAGCGGCAGTACGCCTGGCGCACTGCGCAAGAGTTCTCAGCGTAACGTACCGATTACTTGCGGGTGCACGTGCAGCGGCAGTACGCCTGGCGCACTGCGCAAGGGTTCTCAGCGTTACGTACCGATGACTTGCGGGTGCACGTGCAGCGGCAGCACGCCTGGCGCAATCCGCAAGGGTTCTCAGCGTAACGTACCGATGACTTGCGGGTGCACGTGCAGCAGCAGCACGCCTGGCGCACTGCGCAAGGGTTCTCAGCGTTACGTACCGATGACTTGCGGGTGCTCGTGCAGCAGCAGCACGCCTGGCGCACTGCGCAAGGGTTCTCAGCATTACGTACCGATGACGTGCGGGTGCACGTGCAGCGGCAGCACGCCTGGCGCACTGCGCAAGGGTTCTCAGCGTTACGTACCGATGACGTGCGGGTGCACGTGCAGCGGCAGCGCGCCTGGCGCACTGCGCAAGGGTTCTCAGCGTTACGTACCGATGACGTGCGGGTGCACGTGCAGCGGCAGCACGCCTGGCGCACTGCGCAAGGGTTCTCAGCGTTACGTACCGATGACTTGCGGGTGCACGTGCAGCAGCAGCACGCCTGGCGCACTGCGCAAGGGTTCTCAGCGTTACGTACCGATGACGTGCGGGTGCACGTGCAGCGGCAGCACGCCTGGCGCACTGCGCAAGGGTTCTCAGCGTTACGTACCGATGACGTGCGGGTGCACGTGCAGCGGCAGCACGCCTGGCGCACTGCGCAAGGGTTCTCAGCGTAACGTACCGATTACGTGCGGGTGCACGTGCAGCGGCAGCACGCCTGGCGCACTGCGCAAGGGTTCTCAGCGTTACGTACCGATGACGTGCGGGTGCACGTGCAGCGGCAGCACGCCTGGCGCACTGCGCAAGGGTTCTCAGCGTAACGTACCGATTACGTGCGGGTGCACGTGCAGCGGCAGCACGCCTGGCGCACTGCGCAAGGGTTCTCAGCGTTACGTACCGATGACGTGCGGGTGCACGTGCAGCGGCAGCACGCCTGGCGCACTGCGCAAGGGTTCTCAGCGTTACGTACCGATGACGTGCGGGTGCACGTGCAGCGGCAGCACGCCTGGCGCACTGCGCAAGGGTTCTCAGCGTTACGTACCGATGACGTGCGGGTGCACGTGCAGCGGCAGCACGCCTGGCGCACTGCGCAAGGGTTCTCAGCGTTACGTACCGATGACGTGCGGGTGCACGTGCAGCGGTAGCACTCCTAGCGCACTGCGCAAGGGTTCTCAGCGTTACGTACCGATGACGTGCGGGTGCACGTGCAGCGGCAGCACGCCTGGCGCACTGCGCAAGGGTTCTCAGCGTTACGTACCGATGACGTGCGGGTGCACGTGCAGCGGCAGCACGCCTGGCGCACTGCGCAAGGGTTCTCAGCGTTACGTACCGATGACGTGCGGGTGCACGTGCAGCGGCAGCACGCCTGGCGCACTGCGCAAGGGTTCTCAGCGTTACGTACCGATGACGTGCGGGTGCACGTGCAGCAGCAGCACGCCTGGCGCACTGCGCAAGGGTTCTCAGCGTTACGTACCGACAACGGTGACGTGCAGCGGTAGCACGCCTGGCGCACTGCGCAAGGGTTCTCAGCGTTACGTACCGATGACGTGCGGGTGCACGTGCAGCGGCAGCACGCCTGGCGCACTGCGCAAGGGTTCTCAGCGTTACGTACCGACGACGTGGGTGCACGTGCAGCGGCAGCACGCCTGACGCACTGCGCAAGGGTTCTCAGCGTTACGTACCGATGACGTGCGGGTGCACGTGCAGCGGCAGCACGCCTGGCGCACTGCGCAAGGGTTCTCAGCGTTACGTACCGATGACTTGCGGGTGCACGTGCAGCAGCAGCACGCCTGGCGCACTGCGCAAGGGTTCTCGGCGTTACGTACCGATGACGTGCGGGTGCACGTGCAGCGGCAGCACGCCTGACGCACTGCGCAAGGGTTCTCAGCGTTACGTACCGATGACGTGCGGGTGCGCGTGCAGCGGCGCGGCGGCGCGCGACAGTAGTGCGACGCAGCGACAGCACGCCTGGCGCATGAGCTCTCCACCCAGACCGCGAAACTGCTGCCGCGCGCGCAGTCTGCCCACCAGCTCGCGCACTGCTCGCCATACCTCCTCCGATATTGCACTGCCTGCCTTTCTGCCTGATGAAATTAAAGTTTTTAGTTGTATGGATGAAATAAACGATGTTGAAGTAATCATGTCTTTTGAAGTGAAAATTTCTTTAGAAGCCCGATGAAACGACAAATGCGACACTAAAAGTATTTTTCGGTGTTTTTGGGAATTGTGAACTGCACACACGTTTTATTTAATTTGTTTCCAAGCCTTATTAAAATCACACAAATGTGTCACAGTTTATCAGCAGCAACTCTCGTGGATACAATATTCATATGTTTATATAATATTAGTCATTCTAAAGTTAACTAGTAGTAGAATAAAAATAACTTATACCAACTTAAACTAATTATATATTAAAAAACGTAGAAAACAATAAACATAATATTTTTTATAAAATAAAAGTAACAAACGAACACACAAGTAAGGGGGCGTCCATAAATTACGTGAGATGTTTTTTTTAAATTTCTGTCCCTCCCGCCCCCCTTGGTGAGATGTCATGAGATTTTATTCAACCCCCTCCCCCATCCCACAATCTCACGTGAGATTTTTCTAAATGTGGGTTTATTATATAAACGCCTGAGATTGTTATTGTAAAAAGAAAAAAAAATTAGCTTCGTGCTTTTATTTACGACTAGTTAAGACTAGTAATCAATATTGCTGAGAGTTATAAGTGTAATAAAAATTTAACAATAGAATACTTAAATCGTGACTACTGTGATTAAAAAAAAGAATATCTACTCTAATTCAGTCCATGGAGAATCATGCGCGGTCTCAAGAGAGACTATTGGAACCAAATCCAAATCAAAATCCAAATCTCTAAATCATCACGTACACTTGGGCAATAGAGATCATAAGGTGTGCTGATGAAAGCATTCAGCGGTTGAATCGGTAGGCAATGGCGTATTAGAAATGGAGTAAATGACTTTCTGTTATGCTCTTTAAAGTCCGGTATGGAGGTGGCTGAAAACGGTCGTGAAGAATCATATGCAGATCACTCCGGCGTGGGCTGCAGCACTTCTGGGCGCCACCTGGATCTGTTAGCATTTTGTGATTTTATGCTGAGTAAGTGATCCTAAACCTTATAAAAAAATTAAATTTGATCGGAAATTTAGTGCAAAGTTAAATTCTATTTTTACTGTACTACATTCATACATGTATTTCAATTAAACATTTTATTTATAAACAACGTCTTATAATCGTCGTTTCTCTAGCGCTCACGTGACCTTCATACAAATAATTCAACATTTTAATTGTTGATAATTTTTATTTTTGGATAAGAATATGGTAAGAACACTAAGTTATATTTACCTTCATTTAAAAAAAATTCTCTTTGGCCAAACCTACTATACTCTTTGGCTTGACCATAGGTTTGACTAATTGGTTTATAGTTTAATAATCTGACATTTCAGTAGTGGTTAATCGTATTACGATATACGCTTAAGATTAAATCTTAAGCATGTAAAATCTGGATTAAATAGATCAAAGTAGTATACTTTTTTTTGTTTCAATCAGAAAAAATATTGCGTGATATTTGCCGAGACACCCACTCTCTCCAACGTAAGATTAGATGAGATTTGGCACCCCCTAAGTGGATGCTGTGGCTCATAGACATCTACACCTATTCTTGAGTATCTAAATGCAGATGCGTTATAACCCTTTAGAACATTACTGTAACCATTAAAAAGGAATGCCTCTGATCATGGCAACATTACGATGCAATTTTACATAGGAATTTTGTGAGTGCGTGGTGCTTACCGGGGACGATTCGACCCATTCGTGCTGCTACTATAATATAGCTGCAGTGTAGCTCTAGCTATTTAAATAATTTAACATATTATATAAAATTAAATTTTAAATGCTTGTGTTTGTGCTCATAACACAAGCATTTTAAGCTTAACTAAATTGGTAAACGAGAATATTAGTAATATTAATAGCAGTGTGCTAGTGATTTTCTTTTTAAATATTTAAATTTTAAATAAAATAATTTATGTTGTAAACAGTGTTAAAATATGGACGAGTAGATTTTTATTGAAGTAGTCTTTGGATTAATTTCAGGTTTATGTATTTTATTACTCATTAATGAAATACACACGTTGATCATCTTTCAATGTCTTTCACCCATTTCATAATAATTTTTAATTTTGGAAACAGTTTGTGTTATACTTATTATTTACTATTTATTGATCTTAACTAATTTTATGGACTGGTTGTATTTCTAATAAAATAATAAATAGTATAGACATTATCTCTGAGAACATAAACAAAATGTCTCATTCCAAAAATCAGGCCTTGGTAACAATATGCTAGCTGTATATTAAAACTTTACATTGGTATTCTGGATGTTCTGTTTTCATATATCAGGTAATAACGTGCCAATAACACTTAAAAATCTCTGATGATAGAGGTAATAGTAAATTTTTAAACCTTTTTCTAAAAACCCATTGTTTTACTTACCATCAGCTAATTTTGCCTGCGATAGAGCTAAAATAGCTTCTCCGATCCCAAGAATAGCGCCGTGCCGTACGTTCAAATCAATGGATTCAGTTTTTGCTATCAATTTTGGTAGCACTACTGTCGCCACGTATTCAGGAATCTAAAATACATATTTTAATTTTTTTAATTTTTATGAAACTAATGTCTGGCTTCTATATTTAAAAACGATTAGTTTTCCATTATGTACAATCCGGTCATGAAACAAAATAATCGTACTTCACAACTAACTAACAACAGCCGGTAGTTGTTTTTCTTTTTTTTGAAATTACGGCTTCCAAAAGATGGCAATATACGACGACACGTACTGCGATCTTTAATCCGCCCGTCAGAAAGGAAAATCTTCGACGATTAGGGAAAATCTTCCCTACAAAGAGAGAGGCCGTTGTCCTACAGTGGACTTATAAAAGCCGATGAGGAATGAAAATTTCCACCATTCCTTGTTGTTGAACAATTTTCGTATGTACGGCACGATGTAGTTTCTCTCTACGTCACTCGTGTAGATTCGTTATAGCAGAGTTAACTGAAAGCGCAAACTAGTACTAATATCCTATACCTAAGAAGTTAATTTTTATTTAAGTTAAAAGTAAACTTACGTCACACATCATGTAATTTTAAAAAAAACCCCTCGCATAGGTGTTTTACTTCGTTGTTACTAGGAAAATATTAAATAATAATATAAATATAAAAAACAGGCTTAACCTAAGAAAATAACAAAATAGAAATATGTCAAACTTGACACCATTTTTTTCTGTCTAGCAATGTTCGAATTTAATAAAGGTCAGCACTAAAAAGGTATTATTTTTTTATGAATGTAAAGTTAATAATTTTTGTTAGCTCCGTGGCGCAGTGGCTTAGCAATGAGTTGCAGCTCTAAGGGCCGAGGGTTCGAATCCTGCACGTAACAAGTATTTGCCTACAAATAATTGCTCCGGGTCTGATTTTGAGTTGAATTTTATCACGTCAAGAAATTATTACGGCAGCATATTTTGGTAAATTTTATTTAAAATTTAAATGGATAGGGGAAAACCCGAAATGTGCCTTTTTATTTATTTATTCATACTTTTCTGCACACATAGTAAAGTTGTTACTGTGGGCAGAAGCTTTCTCATTTATGTGAGTTTGGGAGCGTGTTAGTGGACTTCATGTCTTCAAAATATTTTTTAACTATTCAGACATGCATGTCATGACGATATTTTCCTTTACAGCCGGGCACACTTGGCACATCAGCAATTAAAATTGAATTCACTAATTAAGGTGCCAGCGGGGATCGAACCTAGGTTACTCAGGTGCTGTGAAATTTACGAGAGCTTAGGTTAGCTACAAGATATCAAAAAAATGTACTAAATGTACAAATAGGCAGTCTTATCGCTATGTAGCGATCCTTTCCAGGCAAACATTTAACGAAGGAAATTATTTTAATCCCACCAAAACATAAATATAAAAAGGGGGCCAAGTTCGGTACAAATGACGTTCGGGGGTTTGCAGTTTCGCCGTTTAATTGTTTTTTACAAGATGGCTTAGCACCGGCGACAGAAATGTGAAATTATTTTATTCTTTTTATTTATTTGTAGAGAACCGGAGACCCTTTTTACTGGAAATGAGGCATTCCAATTTAGTCCTCATGGGTGACAACGCATCTGCATTTTGATTCGTAATCGAGGATACATGTAGGTGTGTCTATAGGCCACAGCAACCACTTACCATCAGGTGGACTGTGTGCTCGTTTGTTTTTTTTTGAAAAATAACCCTAAAAACCTTATTTTTTTTAAAAAATTTTTAAAAATAAAATAAGAAGAGACTAAGAGCAAAAAAAAAAGAAAAAGCAAAACAAAAAGAAGGGAGGGCTTATGTATTTCCCGTAAATAAAGGGGGGGTGGGGGGGGCTACCTTTTTTATGTTCTTTTTTCTCTCTATTAATTTCCTTCTACATTTACATAAATTAGGGGGGGTTTTCTTTCCGATAAGGTGTTCCGCCACCGGCGGCGAAGCGCCAGACACAATTACATGTACTAAATTAATATAATAATAGCCATGTAAATAATAGCTTTTTTAATTTTCGGAACCCTTGTTATTTAAAATACCTATTCCACTATTTAATAATTGACAACATTTCGTGATAATTTCATTATTTTTCGTAGTATTGTTGACTTAATTCTGACGACATCAATTAGTTATTGTAAAAACGGTTTTAAAAGCATTTTTAAATATGACGTATAAAACCGCTTTAATTGATTAGAGCAAAAATCAAATAAAGCTTAAAAATATATTTACACTCGGAAAATGATTACGCACCTTATCGGTTAGTTTATTGAGGGCTTTAGCTGCCAGTTCACGTATCGCGTAGTCCCAATGTTCTATTTTCAAATCGACGATGTGGTCAATAAGGGGCTGCGTGTACTCCGGGTACGATGCAATTTGGGGGGCAACGACAAGGTACGCATTGGTCCGTGGACCAACGGACTGGAAGTCGGCTGTCGTAAGAACGTCGATTCCATGCGGGAACATTCCGTGACGGCCGACATTCTCTTGATAAGCCGCCGAAGCAGCGCGACGACAATTTATCTGCAAAAAAAATTCACAATGACAAAATACTAAAATCAATATGGTGGCAGCATTAAAAATCATCACACCTTATAAAGGTTTAAACCGCGCACATAGTCTTCACTTCAAACACAGAAGACCTCATACACATTTCCCCCCTTGAGACCTTTAGGAGACATTGGGTGCGTTTGGCAGAAAAAGCGCTAGCAAGCGCTTACAAGCGCTGAAACAGTTTTCGGCCAGGACACGATTACTACTTCAGTAGCGCTGACACAATCCGACATTTTGCTTATTTAATTTGTTTGTTTTGTGCAATATTAATTTTAAGTAATATATTGACATGAATAAACATATACATGTTATTAAAAATTCATGATTGGTAAGTTTTTAATACGAATACTTTACAAACATATTTAAATTAGGTTAGGTTCTCCGGTTAAAACTAACATCGTGTCCAGGAGAAAAATAGCTACTTACGATTTGACAGCGCTTACCGCTTACGAACGCCATTTTGCTTACAAGCGCTTGCTAGCGCTTTTTTCTGCCAAACGCACCCATTTAATGCCTTACAATGCTTCTAATTACTAACTTTTACCTTTCAACTCTTCCAATATCCGCCGGCATTCACCTATAAAATTGTAAATTGCAACTTTAAATGTTGAATTAACACTTACTCGGTGGTAAAGGAATACAATGTGAGGAAACTGATGTAAACGTCTGAAGAATTGAAACCTTAATTTGCTGAGATGGTGGCGCTTATGTGATATTGTTTCTTATTGTTCATTGTTTATATAAGTGTATTTCTTTTTTGTAAACTTATAGTTTTAACCACTTTTATTGGACAATATTCACAAGGATGCGGGAATGGTAGAAATATTTGTTGTAAATTATACATACTTCGATTTTAATAGATTGGTACACTGCGACCAATATTACTGATGTAAACTTTATTTATTATTATTTATCTAAAGAAATCAACAGCAACTTTCCATTACTATGTGTTCTAATTTAAATTTTACAGTTTCCTTCCTTTTTTAAGTTTGTTTTATGACAATAAATCCTCACCATAATTTTTGACGGCTGCATTTTCCATTGAGTGTCAAGTGGACAATCGAATATAGACGGGAACTTGACCGCCAGCGGACTGCTTTCTTTATTCATTTATCTATATTATTTAGTTATACAGTTCAAACAATTGTTAAAAAAATAAGGATAAAAATATTTTAATTAAATTTTTGAGGTAAAGTAATGCGATTTTGTGTATTAAATATCTGTGCATGTACATTGTTAGTGGAAACAGTTGTTCTGATGGTGATGTGAACCTCCTTGAGATGGTATAATTGTTGACTATTTGCTGGCTCAAGCTGCTATCAAAATCCCGCAATGTCATCATATTGTGAAGAAGATTTTTAACAAATTATTTTATAAGATAATTTCATAATACTCGACACTGGTAAAAGTGTGAGTCTATTACCCAGGAAAGAAGTGGAAATCGAAGGTAATAATTTATCGTTCACGAGATGTGCTATTTAGGTCTAAGATGAAGTTATTTATTACAGTGTCACCGTGAGTGAAAAGTTAAAATTGAAATAAAATTACTTTGGCTTCTAGTATACATACAGGTCTATATACGCAAAATAATGTCTCAGGGGATGCTCTTTAATTTTTTGCACATTTTTAACTGTCTTTTTGATTCTTTTACTTTTGGGTACATCCTTACTTTGGTTTGTCCATTTTAATCAAATTAATGTAAAATATAACTAATATTTCAGAAAGAAACATTAACCTTCACATTTTCCCAACAATTTATCCTCTCTTCTATGAAATCTGTCAAATATTTCACCTCATTCCAAAGCATAGTCTGTACGTTAAGATGGTGTCGGTACACCCGGATTACGCACTTATTATTTTGCTTTCATTTTATAATTTTTTACTGTTTATTTAATAAATGTTTTTCTATTCTAAAAATAAAATAGAATACTTTTTTATCCTAATGGTTCATCATCATCATTACAGCCCTTCACAAGTGCACTGCTAAACATAGGCCTCCTCCAAAGAATGCCACAAAGCAAGGTCCTAAGCCACATCGACTTCCTGCATGTCTTACCAGGTCGTCACTCCATCTAGTGGGGGGTCGCCTTACAGGACGCTTACCGGTACGAGGCTGCCACTCGAGAACCTTTTTTCCCTATCTGTTCTCGGTTCTTCGAGCTATATGGCCGGCCCATTGCCACTTCAGCTTACTAATCCGTTGGGCTATGTCGGTCACTCTTGTTCTACTGCGTACATCCTCATTTCTAAGTTTATCACTCAGAGAAACCCCGAGTATAGCCCTCTCCATAGCTCGCTGAGCGACCTTGAGCGTCCTCATACGGCCGGCAGCGAAGGACCACGTCTCAGATTCGTAAGTCATCACTGGCAACACGCACTGGTTGTACACTTTAGTTTTCAGTTTGAGGTATACCTGACGAGAAGATGTGTCGTAATTTCCCAAACGCTGCCCAGCCGAGTTGATTCCGTCGTTTGACCTCTCGGTCGAAGTTGGTGTTACCTAGTTGGACTATTTGTCCCAGGTAAAAATGTACTCGTCAACAACTTCGAGCTTAGTGCTCTCAACAACTACCGGCATAGGTGTGACATGGACATCGAACATGATCTTTGTTTTGTTCATGTTCATCTTAAGACCTATCTGCTGGGAGACACTATTGAGGTCATTGAGCATAATGCTTAGGTCCTCCAGCGATTGTGCCATAAGCACTATATCGTCGGCAAATCGAAGGTGAGTGATGTACTCGCCATTGATGTTAATACCGTATCCTTTTCAGTCCAGTAGCTTGGAAACGTCTTCCAATGCAGCGGGGAAGAGTTTCGGGAATATAACGTCACCCTGTCTTACACCTCTCAGCAATTGGATAAGTTTCGAACTCTGATTTTGTACTCGGATAGCCATCATAGCCCTACTGTACAAACACTTCAGCACTTCGATATACAGACAGGCAACTTGGCACCGCTGAAGGGACTGTAGCACCGCCCAAATTTCGACGGAATCAAAGGCTTTCTCATAGTTCACATACGCCAGGCAAAGTGGCAGATTGTACTCTTCGGACTTACTATTTCCCGAAGGGTATGTATGTGGTCTATGGTGCTAAAGCCTTTTCGGAAACCGGCTTGCTCGGGTGGCTGGAAATCGTCGAGTCTGCTTGAGAGACGATTCGTAATGACTCTGGAAAACTGCATGTAGACGCTGTTCAGAAGGGATATCGGTCTGTAGTTCTTCAAGAGAGCGTTGTCTCCTTTCTTGAAGAACAAGACCACCGCACTTCTGCTCCACGCCTCGGGAGTAGTGCCACCATGGAGGACGGAATTGAAGAGCTTCTGATGGACTTCAAGTAGCGGTTTCCCACCCGCTTTCAGAAGCTCCGCTGTAATTCCATCCTCGGCCGGGGACTTGCAGTTTTTAAGGTGCTGAAGAGCAATTCTAATCTTGCTCAGACTGACGTCCGGGATATCATCGGAATAATGTCGGATAAGACTTGGATCGTTACACTTGCGTGTGGCTCCAACGATGATGTGTACAGTTGTCTATAGAACCTCTCAATCTCACTCAAAATCCCACGTGTCCTGGAAACGATGCTGCCACACTCAGTCTTCAGCGTTGAAAGTTGGCTCTTACTGGCAGACAGATCTCTGGCAAAGACTTTGGAGCCCTGGTTCCGCTCGATCGCTTCTTCAATACGAGCAGCATTAAAATTGCGTAAGTCCCGCCGCATGCATTTGGAGATCTGTCTGTTCAGTTACCTGTATGCTGTCAAATCTGCTATTGACGACTGCCGCTTCATCTCCCGCATGCATTTGGAGATCTGTCTGTTCAGTTACCTGTATGCTGTCAAATCTGCTATTGACGACTGCCGCTTCATCTCCCGCATGCATTTGGAGATCTGTCTGTTCAGTTACCTGTATGCTGTCCAATCTGCTATTGACGACTGCCGCTTCATCTCCCGTCTAATAGCCATGAGATTAAGAGTGTGATCGGAGTTTTTGTGCTCTTCTACGGCGGGTCTGGTAGAACTTAGCCCCGACCGCATGGCCAGTTTTTTTGTTGTACAGTTGCTGCCATCAGGAAGATGCTGCTGCCCATCTCCTGCGTGTTTCCCTCTGTCGCCTTTCACGACAACCACGGGAAGATATGGGGTAGTGGATATTCTTAACTGCCACTACACGGCATCCTAATGGTTATTGTAATAAAATACGACTTTAAATAATAAACACAAGTTAGGTAGAAAAGAACCTTTCACTACGGCGCTTCGTTTTAAAGTGCCAATTTTTCCTGTGGGTGTACACCGTACGCGACGACCTTTGATGTCGAAGCGGCGCCTTTGACAAGATGCGACACGAGCTAAGGAGCTAGCGTATCTAAGTGAACAGACTGTAGTCCTAGGGGCAGAAATATTTTGGATGGCCTCATTACCTCGCGGTCGAAGCAGGCGGTGGCAGCGAGCGCGTTGGCGAGCGTGAGCGCGTGCGGCGCGAGAGCGTGCGCGTCGTAGGCGCGCGCGAAGGCCCAGGCTGCGTGGCAGGCTGAGTCACGCGCCGCGCGCCCGCCCGCTCCACCCGCGCGCGCCTCGTCCCGCGCTAGCGCACGCACAACGCAACGCGCCGCCGCGCCCAGCTGCCGTGGAGACAGCAGCCCGCGCCGCGCTGCACAACCACCCACACGCTTTAGTGCTTGGCCAGACTGCAAACGCGGGCTCTGGGCGCGGCGCATGTGCGGGTAAGGGCGCGACCGCACTGTTCGCAGTCGAGTGCGTCTTCGTACCGAGTGTTGTCAAGTCTAGTGTTTGCCAAAATATAATATGGATGAAGAAGACTTTATAATGTCCCCCAGACCGAATTTCGGCCACGGCGGCCAGACTCAACGGAGGCTAGCCATCGGCGCAGGACAGGATTATAGTACCCAAGTGTATTCTGCATACACAGGTGCACTCTCTATTCCCTCACTCTCATAATTCGATGGGACGGTAAACCGACACGACCGGAGAGAGATCAGGCGTAGGACCAACGGCTTTACGTGCTTTCCGAGGCACGGGGGTGAGACACCGCCAACTTCCTGACTCCGGGCAACTACTGAGAACTTCTTGACGGAAAATCTCAACAATTAATTTTTGGACCGACCCGGGATTCGAATCCAGGATCTCATGATCAGCAGTCGCACTGCTACAACCACTAGACCAACGAGGTAGTCAAAAAACTTTATTACTGATTGGTTCTTACCTTAAATGGAAAATTTTACAAGTGAAAAATGGAATTAGCAAAATCAATTTATCCAAAGAAAATAAAGAAGAATTTCATACACTGTATGTAAAATCGCGAGCGCAATATCAAAAGTTTTTGAAATATACGAGAATATCAATGGATACGTCTGACTATATATTAGAAAACAAAATAAATTGTCTGAAAACTAAATTCTTCTACATTTAATTCGAAAGACGCCAATACAACGCGCGCGGCTAACTCGAAGTGGTTTGAGATCCCCACTCCTCGCTCCGTTTGCCACTTACTATACTCTACGCAAATAATTAACTAAATTAATTTACAAGTTAGCATACGCATTTTAATTTTAAGGAAGCATTTAGACATTATCAACACTTAATACTTGTTAATCTCTTTACTTTGTCCAAGATGAAAGATTAATAGCACTGTCATAAAGAATAAAAGTGAAAGGGGTGAGAAGATGAACTTGGCTCAGGTGTCAGTACGCACCCCCCCGAACGGGTTCCCGCCTTGTCGTGGCGGGGGGGCTTAGTAGCCGCGGCTTGTTCTCCCACGGTGAACAAAGAGGAACCCACGTGGCTGGCAAGGGCCGGCCCGAGGTGGCCACTCCGAGTGGGCTTGGGGAGCCCACTTCGGATGTGTGCTGGTGGACTGCAGCGAGAGGGGGAGTCTGCACCCTCTACCGCTGCAGCCGAGGTGGAGTCGCGGAGGAAGAGGAGTGTTTGTATGGCGATGCGCCACTCGCCCTATCCTCCGCGACTCAAACGGGGCCGCTCCGTTGATGCGGTGGTTATGGGGCTGCGGGGGGAGAGGATTGTCGGTATTGCGAGGCGCCGCTCTCCCTATCCTTCGCAGCCGAATCTTGGTTGACAGCGGAGCCATAGACCAGATCCGCCGCTGGGGTCGGGAAGGCTAGTACTTCTAAGTGCTCGTTTTTCCTGGCCCCATGGCCTTCGCGCATCGGATGCGGGGGCGTCTGATGCGCATATTTAATTGGAGGCCGTGGAGGAAGGCGCGCCATGTGTTCTGGTGCGCCTTACCTGGGATGGAGAACGGGGAGGAATATTCCTCACCCGAGGAGGTGCTGCCATGGGGCGGCAGGCGCTGGTAGGGCCGCGGAAGTGTGCGAAAGCGTTCCCGTGGCCCTGCCAATATGCGACGAAGGTGGAACACCATGGGGTTTTAGTCGGTGCGACTCGGGGGGCAAGGACATAACCCGTCCTTGCCCCCGCGAGGCGGGTTTGCGTAGGCATTTCCCCATGTAAAAAAAGGTGTCAGTACGCACAACGTAGGGTTCCGTAGTTGCACGTCACAATACGTAAATTTAGAGGCGGGGCGTCTTGATGCTATGAGCATATTAAGTAAGTTCGCGATTTGACCGCTATAACGACTAAAAATGGGCCCAAATAGGACAAAAGTTAATGAAAGGCTTATATTCCAAGAAAACTTATAGGATAGGGAGTGATATTCAAAAAAGATTTAAAAAACCTTTCGGTTTTGAAAATAAGCCAAGTTCCTACAAAAATGGTCATAGTTCTCTATCCATCAATTAGTTCTCGACAGTGCAACTCTAAGATATACATGACCGTAAAGAACCTTCCCCTAGCCCACCACTACCCTAAACTATCCTGAGGGTCGCCCACGTAAACCAAAAGTACCACGAATGACACTAACTTCCAACTAAAACATAAACAAAAATCATATGTTAGGATCGGTCTCTTAGCAATCCATCCTCTCTGCCTACCTCGCAAAGGAAAACGTAACGCATAAGTATAATATATTAATAATGTATAATAATAATTAATTTATAACTTTGTAATGCATAAGTAATTTTCTACAAAAAAAAATTTACAGTTTACAACATTACAAAGTTATAATTCAGTGTTTTATTAGGTTATTTTCTATGTAATTGTAACGAAATTTTTACTAATCCAAGAGCATTTTTAAATTGATCGACTTTTACTCGTTAACTTGTTAAACCTACTTAGCTGCGATAGTTTTACATTTAACATCATTATATATACTACTAACATGCATACTTTTCACATTTATAAAAACAGCGGTTTAGTTGGTGGGGGTGTGGGACACAGGATTCTAATCAAAAATACCACTTTAAAGAACCTTGAATAAAAAAAATTTTACACTGAATTTTTTGAAAGACATATCCAAGGGGACACGATACACGATGAAACAGACGGATATAAAAAAAATCACCTCTATGAGTGTACTCAAAATAAAAATGTTTTTCAAGATTTTATTTCACAACTTTGTAGGTGTGATTAATATCTATAACTATGCCAAATTAAAGCTTTGTAGCCTAGGGTCTTTGAGTGAAACCGCGGACGGAGGGCCGGATGGACAGACATGGCAAAACTGAAAGGATTCCTTGTTGTTTAACTATGGAACCCTAAAAAGAGGATTTTCTCTGCATTACTTTGCATCTGGTTGGGCGGCGGGCCTAGGGGTTCCCGAGTTCGATTCCCAGGTCGAGCCTTGACCCTATTGTGCGAGATGTTATACTAGGTAGATTGTATACGCGGTTGGCTTCTTATGCCTCAACAAGATGGCGGACGTGGCACACTGCAACCTTGGACAATGCACTCGCTCTTCCAAATCTATTGCTTGCCAAGGTTAGGATGGAATTCTACTTGAGCACATTAGGAGAAACAAAATGGGGCGGGTTTCGCTTCGGTCGGGACGACGCTTCCGTTGCGGTGATGCGACGTGAGGTGGGTTCTTCTGGGGCGCCCCAGAGATGCGATTCAGGCCAGCGGTACGAAGGAAGAGAGTGGTGCGCGACATCTCACACTATGAGGCGGTTACTTCTGGAGCGCGACTGTCCCAGGTGGTGCGGTTCCGACTAGCGGCGCGTGGCAAGAGGCCGCTCGAGGGCAGCGCGCGAGCCTATATTGCCTCGGCTTTCCCACCAATGCACCTCGGTCGGGCGCGCGTCTCATTGGTCGAAAGAATCGCGTCACCTTCTAGACTCCCCCCTTTCCCCTTTCAGTGTGTACGGAAGGGACATTAGGTCAAAGGATGGATAAACACTTGGCAAATATACCCTCGAACAAAATTAAAAACGTTTCCGCGTAACCAGCATCCATTTACTTCCTCCAAAGTTACCACTACATCCATATTCCATAATAAATTATTGTTATTTAAAAATTAGTATAATATATCCTTGGAGTTACAACTAACCTAATTCAGCCAACGCCATACAGCCACCATGCCAAGCTGTATCTCGTTCGTTTTCAGCAAACAGTGTAAGAACAATTTCGCACACGTCAGCTGCCGCTAGTGCGGGTAGACGAGCGCCTATTCTACCCACGCCCTTAGCAGCCGACCAACGTACCACTGTATCGTCATCTCTCAATGAACAAAGTAATAATTCCACCACATCCTCCACCTGAGAAAAAAATGTTAATAAGTCATTACATCTGAGCCCCATACAAGAATGTTACATAAACTCAACAAAGGAAGAAGGGTCCTACAAAACAAGCTTGTACTAATATAACTACGAAATTCTTTTATATTATTATTTTAAATGTACTTTTTATGGCTGCAGAATAAATGGGTCGACTCAACTGGGGAAGAATCACACTGGCACAAATTCATTACCATCATCTTCATTACAATACATTCACATGTTCACTGCTGAACACAGGCCTCTCCAAAGAATGCTACAAAGCATAGTCCTGAGCCATCTGCATCCATCGACTTCTGCATACATTACCGGGTCGTCGCTTCATCTAGCGGGCAGACGTCCTACAGCATTCAGGATATACACTTTGCTTACCCAAACAAGGCCGTAACAACAGGCGACATTCAATACAAAAGAAATATTTTTTAAGGAATAAAGACCGATTTACACTTCGACAAGTACAGTAGCGCGTTTAGTTAAAGGGCAGTTGACAATAAACGGTTAAGTGGGCAGTAGCGTTCAAACAATGTCTTTGTTTGACAGTTTATTAGGGACTTTATTAGTTCATAGAGTTCGTCGGAGTATGACGTTTCAAGACTACAGAATTTTTCTGCTTTTCGTTCAAGAATTAAATGATCCAGTCAGAGAAGCATTAATGGTTGTTTTTAAAGAAGTTTTTAAGAATTTTCATGAGTGCAGCATCTCGATCATCAGATTTAATTTTACAATTTGAACTTCTACTATTACATAAACATTCGTTATATTAATACTCCTGCATTATAAAAGTACAATTGTACGTTTTGGCGCGCAAACGTTGCGTCCTGTCAACTTATACACAACGGCGAGTTTAGTTGCGGGTGGCGGCAGACGCGCGGGTAGGCAGCACTTCGCACTTAACTCGCCGAAAAATAGCTCGGCCGGCTATCCCGTTCAACTTAATCGTTAACTTGCTGCTTAACTCGCTTATTGCCGTTCAAACGAGGTTCAAACTTAACTCGCCAGGTTCGCAAGTTAACTCGCTAATATACTTGTCAAAGTGTAAATCGGTCTTAAGGGTGAGAAACAAGCACACAGTCTATCTGATAGATAGTAAGTGGTTGCTGTGGCCTATAGATATCAACATTCTATCTTCGATTATGAATCAAAATGCAGATGCGGCGGTGGCCTATAGATATCAACATTCTATCCTCAATTATGAATCAAAATGCAGATGCGTTGTCACCCATGAGGATTAAGATGGAATACCTTGTTTCAAGTAAAAAGGGTCTGTGTTTCTCTACACTCACCATACTAAACACAGCAACGTTGAGCTGCAATTTTACGCTATTCTGTGAGAGTGTAGTCCTTTCCCGGTCGTGCCGACCTATTCGTGCTACAACCATACAAATGAACTTTTTCTATTGAGTGTTAATATTTTAATCAAAATATTCCTACTTCTTGCGGTATATCCTCATCATCATCATCAGGCGGAGAAGTCATGGGTTCAGTATCACCAGCTGCTGCAACTCCTCCCAGTGTAACTGCAAGCGATCTAGAACCTCGCGTATAACGCCATGATGCTACACGTGGCCGTAGAAATGTTAACCCTGGAAAATAAATAAATAAAATGTGTATTAAATGCCATGTTTTAATGCTGCAAACGGAGACCCAATTATTAGCTACAAGGAACTTCATCTTGGTTCTCTAAAGGTGCACAAGCCTGTATGTCCCAGGTTTTGAGCAGTTCTAACGCTGTTTAGTTTCTACATATTAACCTGTTTATAACTCAGCGGAACCTAGATTTAAGTCCCGTAACCAACAATTATATGTATATAACAACACAAAATGTGTGTTAAACAACATTCTTATGTGTATTAAACACTAGCAACCCCGAACATCCAAAATTAGTAAATCATTAACAGGAAGGTGAGAATGAGAGAGTTCCTTCTGTGCAGTTAACACTACGGTGTAAGAAGTGATGCTCTTAAATTAATTATTTCATATTTAAGTAACAGAGTGCGAAAAATTTTCATTAATAGTAAGAGTTCTTCCAGGTAGATTGTACGAATGGGCGTACCTCAGGGTTCAATTCTCGGCCCCCTATTCTTTTTCTTGTATATATTAATGACTTACCTTACATAGTAGGGGATAATAATAATATAGTATTATTTGCTGGTGATACTTCATTAATTTTCAAATTAAAACGACAGTTATTAAATTACGATGAAGTAAATAATGCTATAGCTAAGTTAGTCAATTGGTTTAATGTTAAAAATTTGCATTAAAATGGAACTAAAACTAAATTTATTAAATTCGTAATTCCGAACGTCAAACATGTTAATATTAATGTAATTTAAAATGGGGAGGAGCTGAGTCTTGTTGATACCACCATTTTTCTTGGAATCACACTAGACGCAAAGCTTCAATGTCTCCCCCATGTATCAAAACTAGCTAGCAGACTTAGTTCTTCTGTAAAAAAGATTACAACTCTTACCAGTGTTGAAATAGCTAGAATAGTTCACTTTAGCTATTTCCATAGCATAATGTCGTATGGTATTTTGCTATGGGGACATGCGACTTACACTGAAATTATATTTGTTTTACAGAATAGGGCTATAAGAGCAATATATGATTTAAAACCGTAAGAGTCGCTCAGACAAAAATTTAAGGACATTAATATATTAAATCTGGCCTCTCAATACATTTATGAAAATGTAATGTACGTACACAAAAATAAAAGTAGTTTTGCAAAAATAAGTGATATTCATTCTGTAAATACTAGAAACAGACCAAACTAGTAGCACCAGTTACTCGACTCCACCGAGTCAGTAATTCATTCTTGGGGCGCTTTTACAACAAAATCCCAGAAAATATACAAAATTTGACATACACAAAGCTCAAAAACTTTATTAAACTAAGTTTGTATAAAAAGGGTTATTATAATATTAAGGAATTTATGGATGATATGCTGCCATATGCCATATGCTGGTGCTACAAAATGCCATCTAGCGCCCTTGGACTCGATGGAAAGGCATACTAAGAGGCTTATTGGTGACCCAAATTTGGAATTTGAAACAAATCTTACCAGCCTCGAACACCGGCGCAAATTAGCCAGCCTTTCGGTTTTCTACACGAGGCATTTCGGAGAGCATGCGTAGGAATTGCATAATTTCATTCCTCCCTCTCCCTTCCACCATAGGACAACTAGATGTTGGGCCAGTCTCTACGCTTTAGTTGTTGACTTACCACGCATTCGAACCAAAAGGTTTGCTACGTCGTTCGTAATGCGTACAGCAAAGGAGTGGAATAAGTTGCCAGCATCTGTCTTTCCATCCGATTACAGTGTGGGTGTCTTCGAGGCAAGAGTGAATAGGCTTTTGTTAAGTCAATGCGCTTCACAATCTTAAGCTACATCACCACTTACCATCAAGTAGGATTGTAGCTAATTATAATAACCCCTGGGATGGGTGACTGCTACCAAGTTATTTCTAATTTGTTTTGTGTTGTTAATTGTAACATACATGATTGTAAGCTATTATTTGGAAAAATAAAGTCACACTGGGTTTCTTGCTGGTTCTTTCCAGGACAGAGGTGTTTTTTGCGAACCAGTAAATGAAAAAAGTGACTTTCAATAAGTATATACAATCTATATTGAATAAAAAAGTTTCTGTTTCTATTTGGATGTTCAATTGCATGGCTCTACCAAGCAACTATGTTGATGTAGCACAAATGGGTTGGCTTGACTGGAGAAGGACCACGCTTTCCCAGAATACCCAGCGTAAAATAACTTAATGTTGCTATGTTTTGTATGATATGTATAGAGAACTGGAGGCTCCTTTTAATGGAAACGAGGCATTCCATATCAGTCCAAGTTACAACACATATGCATTTTGATTATTAATCGAGGATAGACTCCAAATGTAATAGAAATCTAATATTTATGGTCCACAGCATCCACTTACCTCACCTAATTCTATATTACTTGCATACCATTTATTTTCACTACCTGTCAAGGGCCACTTGGTGTTTGGTGGTTCCATTAATCAACACTCACACAATACTGGAGAGAGCACTTCGAATTAAAAACAGACATAGATATGTTGTTAGGAAATAGGATACATACCTATTCTTTGCACAATTTTAACTCCATACTTCCTCACCAGCATGGCTGAATGCTGTTTGTAGTTTTGATCTGTAACCCACTTTAACAACTTAGGTGCATATGGCAGCAAGTCATTTCTCTTCCCATGCTTTAGCACTGCAGCCACAGCAGCTAGCACACCATAATATATAGTGTCTTCCTCTTTCAAATTGGAATGTAAAGCACAAGCCCAGTCAAAAAATGCACCCATATACACTTCCTTAACATCTGACCTATAAATAAACACATTTTATTTTCCTATAATGTTATTTATTAAATCGAATTTTGTAAGGAGACACTTAATGTAAACCAATATATTAAAACCTGTAATTTGAACTAGTAATTTGTTATAAAATATAAAATTACTACATATCTCTATTATTTTTCACTTACAACAGCTTACCTTATAAGAAATTTAGAAGCTAAATATGCACTTGCTTCAGCGCATGAATCTTTGCTACATGCATATAATTTACAAATGTTTAAGATTCTTTCCATCACAGTAAGTTTCTTAGACGAACCAGCTGCTCCTACAAAAATTGACATGCAAATTAATTCCCACTTTTTATTCAAAAAGTAGCAACTCATGAATTTTTATTTTACGTTAAAATAAAAGTATGGCGAGAAATATTAGAATTTATTCATTTACCTGGTTGATCTGGAGCAAATCCATCTAATCTGCTCATATGAAAAGGTATAATGACAACAATTGAAAGCCAAAGTAGCAATACGAATCTGCTACGCCAAGTCTCTTTGTCATTTGGATCTTGGGCTTCAAGGAATGTTAAAACAGTAAGAAGATCCGATACCTATAATGTTAAAAATTTACTTTCAAAATGTGTTATTAGGATTAGTTTTAAGTCAGGCACAAGGATTTTCAGTTCCCAACATGTCATAGCAGGAAGGGCCTGAAAGGTTTTCTCAGTGTTGTGGTGTGGGAATGAAAAATTTACATCAAACTTTATAACGGGAGCCATATTATCTGAAGGATACAGTCTAAATGAAAACATTTATGAATTTTTCTAGTATTGTACAATTGTATAACATATGAAACATTTTACTCTGGGAAAGAAAATCTACATCTGCAGGTTGCATAGGCCAGCTGAATACTGCTGTATCCTTTCATGTATAAAAGACAGTGCTTCTCATCTAACTACATAAAACAACAGTGTGGTCATTTTTGTGGAAAATTTTTAGAAAGGGGATTCTTTTTTCTTTAACATTATATGTTGAACCTTAATTATTTTTCTAAAATAAAAGTAGCCTAAATTAAGTTAGACAATTAGGGCAGATCCTCCTTACAACGGAAGCGGCATGGGGTTGGCTACAGATATCCAGTACTTGATTTTAATAATATTTTTAGTCTAGGAGGCTTGCTAGGGATAAGCTTGAACCTATTACTTTGAATTAATTACGATAAAAACAAACTCCACTAAAAATTGTCAATTCGTTCTCATATTATGAAGTAGACGTCAAGTACTTGATTTTTTAATTTTGTTTTCAACTTAGGAGGTTTGTCAGGGTTAAGATCGAACATTTTACACTATTTTTGGATTTCAGAAATGTCTTTTGAATTAAATATGATAAAAATAAATTTCACTAAAAATTGCATACAACAAAACGCAAATATGTCAATTCATTATTTTAACACAGATACACTCATGAAAAAGTTAATCACTCTGAACCAGACAACTGGTTCTTATATACAACAAATTGAGTCACAGTGGAGAGCAGTCAAGAGATTTTTCAGAAAACAAAATTGTAATAATTCACAGTACATTATTTCATTTACCACTATCATAGTAGAGTTTAGGGCAACCTGACTTTATAAATAAGATTGGTCGAATCTGTTCCAAAATCGAAACAGCACACCCCGACCCCACTTAGTGTTGTCTGCCCTACCCCTAGTGTTTTGTAAAGCCGTAGGTGTGGAGGGAGAGCAGCCCCCGCTGGCTGTACAAATTACAGGGCTCACCTCCGCAGCGTCGGCTTAATGGACACCTTCAGCGACCAGCCTCATCCGCTACGGCTTCCACTTGTGACTGATTTGCTATGCAAGGGCAAAGGGGCTGCACTTCTCACAGCGCCCAAGCTATTACAGAATTAACTTTATGTCAATATTCCTGTGTAAAAAGGTGATGTTATGATTTTACAAAAAAAAAATTATTACTCATAAACTATACATTTCCGCAAAGGGCATCTCGCCTCCACCTCCCTCCCACCACCGTACGCGAGTACCGGATGTCTATAGTTTAACTGCGGCATGTCCAGCAGAAAGACAAAATTAAATGAAATTATGAAAACGCTTGCTTACCTCATGAGGCAAATGTCTTACAACAACTTTATATCCTCTGACTCTGATAATTTGATACATGTAATTGAATGTCGCATGTTTTAATTCACAAGGAGATTCCTTATCCTTAATTAAAGCAAGAAACTTAGCCAAAATCTTATCCAAATAAGGATCAAGAAGGTGTGGTTGTTCATAATATTGCTTTAATATGTTATACAATCTATCATACTCCACTTCTGATTTTGGTGAGTTGTAGATATTTTTCAGATTATCAATTATATTCATCACATCCTCCACCTCTGAAAAGTGCTCTAAAGCACAACTTAAGCCGACATTATCGCATTCGTCATCCCTGTTCAACTCAGCATCCAGTCCAACCATTTTTGAAGATTGAATAAATATATTATTATTTGTTTAATTAATAAACTGTAATAACGATATTTGTGAGAATTAATTGAAAGATAAACAGTGTTTATAACTGCAATTGAAAAATTCACTGACACAGTGCAGTGCACCCTTATTTTTAGTCTGTTTCAAACAAAAATGTCAATGTCATTGTCACAGTCACAGAATCAAAACAAATTCGTATAAGTGAGTGTGACCACCGTGAAGGTTAGGGAACAGGAGAACGATCGCCGTAGAAAATAGTGTCCCAGAAATATGGACACCATAAGTGAGGCGCTGCGATCGCTAAGTTCGGTCAATAAAAGTCACTTTCAGTCTATTTTTCCGACCACTTGCACATCCATGCACAATAAAATATTTCTCTTTTTAATGTTTCTTTTTGTTCGAAATTTACAAAATTACGGAGCATGAGAATTTTCTCACCAATGCCGCGGAGAAAATTTGTACATTATTCAACTAACTTCATCTACTTGTACTCATAAACAGCTACCTTCGCAGTCGTTACTCACAGACTTCAGCACCGCTATAAATTCTACAACTTTCAAGGACAAGCGGACTATGCTTTAGTACGTAGTGATCGTTCTTCTGTTCTCTAACCTTCATGGTGACCACCGTGAAAATAAATAAACTGCCCTACATCACAGAATAAATAATAATAGTACTACGTACAGAAAACGCACTCCTTTAATATTGATTGCTTGCCGAAGTTTAATAGCCTAAATAATTATTATTAGTTAGATAAATCGCGCACGCAACCTAAATAGACTTTATTGCTGCGCGCGAGTGTCCATATTTACGTTAGTACTCTTATTAGTTTGTGGTCCATATTACTTCGCATCTTTTCCAGTGTTGCCAACTTGACGGGTTTCCCGTTAGATTTGACGGGAGAGCGAGGTTGGAAAAATTTGTGTTTAACGGCTAACGGATTTTTTAACAAGACAACAAAAATTTATGTTTTTTAGATTTGTTTTCGAAATAAAAATAATTTGTAAATGGCAAAAATTAAATTAAAATTTTATTCATTTTTTAGTTTAAAAATGTGCAATACATTCTTATCTTTAAAAAGTTGAGAGAGTAAATTTTCATTTGACGTAATTCTTTTAAATACAGCTCGGAAACTGTTTTGTCGTTGGTCGGCCAAAATGATGCGCTACTGTTGAATATATAGAAATTATCAAATACTCTATTTATATCATTCTCTCTCCTTACTGTTTGAGTCGCATATCCTGTAAACCTGTGATATCCTTGTCTATGAGATCATATGTACAAAGTCTAACTCTAATCTACTTTTATTATTATTGTCTCTCCTATTGAATTCTCAAAATAATTCTTTTGTTTGTAATACGGATGTTTGATCTGTAATAAAAGTTTTTGTTGAATACTCGCAATTGTTTTTATTAAAAATGGGAAAAATGCTACAATAAACAAAGATTCCGTAATGAGTGGCTTCAAGATATTCTATGCAAGGATTGGATCATGCGAAAAGAAAGTCCAGGAGACTTTGTGGCGTCTTGTAAATATTGTATGTGTGTTGTAAGTAAAAATAACAAATATTGACGAAATGTAATAGAATGATTCGGTTACTAGAAATGAATGATCGACACTTGTCTACCGTACTTGACGGGATTAGACGGGATTATAGTGTTCTCTACAACGGGAGCTAGATTTTAATGTTGGCAACACTGATCTTTTCCCAGTATCCCCTTCCTACCTCACGGCGGGCTTTCCGTGGTTACTAAGGGATGTCATTAAAGAGCAAAAAATACATTGCGAAATGTTAATCAAGTAAGTTACTTAGGTGAAGTACCTATTCTGACTATGATCGACTGACTATATTTTCGCAACTATGTGTGTTCTGCGATGCCCAACGCATGCAACTTGCAAGGCCATTCATCGGGAATCGCGATGCTGGGTTCGGAAGAAACAACAAATAAATAAACCTGAAAAACGTTTCCTAACAGAAATGTGATCGTATGCTACTTAGTTAAAAATCATATTAGTAAACAATGTTTTAATTTCAGGTCTTTGTCTTATTATACCTTAAAGTATTTTAACTACAAAAGACAAGTATAGGTATGTAAGTAGATAATTGGATAGTGAAGTAAAAGTTTTGTAAAAAAGTACTTAGGTACTACTTCTGTAGATTATATTGTAGAATAAAGTTCCTTTGAATTTATAGAGTTTTTTTTATATGACAGGGGGAAAACAAGCATACGGCTCGGCTCACCTGATGGTAAGTGATGACCGCCGCCCATAAACATCTGCATATACATACACATTGCAGATGCGTTGCCGTCCTTTTAAAAAGGAGTAGGCTCTTTTCTTGAAGGTCCCAAAGTCGTATTGGTATGGAAAAATCTCTGGTGGTAGTAGATTCCACAATGAAGTTGTGCGGGGAAAAAAACTTCTTTTAAATCTCGGTGGTGGACCGCTAGTCATCCAGATGGTATGGATTGTATCGCTAGTTATCTCACGATAAGTGATGGTGAATGGTTGATTGTCGGTCGATTAATATAAGTTAAAAAATGTATAAAGTAGATTCGTTATTGGCTGTAAGTTAATTTTATAAGTTTTATATACATTGTAATTAGTGCTGTGGATCTTGTAATAAATAAAAAAAATTGTGCGGCTGGAATTAGTCCGAACAATCCCTCAGAGCACTCTCGTGGTAGATGCGATAAAATACGCAAAGAGATGCAACATCTTTTCGCAGTGCCAGTGAGTCAAGCCATTCGGAAAGAGCTCGATCGCCAACGATTCGAACTGTTCTGCGCAGCTTGCAATAAAATGGAAGAAGTTGGCACTGGGGAGCCCCCGCCCAGAGATGGTAACAATATTCCATGTGCGGCTGGAACTGTGCCTTGTAAAGTTGCAGGCGGTAAGCCGACATGAAATACTGTCCGGCTCTGCTGAACACGCAAAGCTTTTTAGAGGCCAATTTGGCCTTCTCTTCAAAGTGACCACGAAACTGCACGTCACTCGATATGTCGACGCCGAGGATTCCGATACTGGCTGAAGCAACTAGACAAGTGCCTTGAAACTGAGAAGATACGACAAAGGGGTTATTTTTAGCGGTAAACGCGCAAACTTGTATCTTTAGGGGATGAAACTGAACTAGATTTATTCACCCTCATTCCGAGACTTTGTCAACAAAGTCTCGACTTCAGACACAAGTTTGTCCCGGTACTTGCCGACGTTTTCCCGAGAAATACTGGCACGGCCGGTATATAAAACATCACTGTCACCAGTGCTGTCATTTGCATAACAATGAATGTTACCGGTTTGCAACATGTCATTGATATGCAGAAGAAACAGCGTTGGTAATAGCACGCAACCTTGTGAAACACCAGCGTTAATGGGCATGCAATCGGAGCATGCACCGTCTACTACAGCCTTGATGCTTCGATCTGCAAGAAAACTGGTGATCCGATTGCATAATTTCTCGGGAAGCCCATAGGAAGAAAGCTTCGTAAGAAGCGCATTGTGCCAAACCCGATCGAAGGCCTTCGCTATGTCCAAACTAACGGCCAACGCCTTCCCCTTGGACTCTACTGCCTCCACCCATTAATGATTTAGGTAACCCAGAAGATCACTAGCCGAGCGATCGTGACGGAAACCGTACTGGCGGTCACTAATCAGCTGATGATCCTCAAGGTACCGCATGAGCTGGCTGTTAATAATACCGTATTCCATTATTTTAGAGAACAAGGAAGTGATGGCGATAGGCCTATAGTTGAACGGATCACAGCGGTTACCTTTTTTAGGGATCGGGTGCACGAAGGCTGTCTTCCATGATTTCGGGACTACGCCTAGGGAGTAGGAGTACCGGAAAAGACGAATTTAAAACCGGTGTCAACTCCGGAGCATACGTCTTCAGTAAAATAAGAGGGACGCCATCAGGCCCACTCGACTTGTTGACGTCATGGAAGAGGAGTGCTCTGCGCACCGAGCGTTGGGCAAACAGCACGTCCCGCATGAAACACTCACACTGCGTGATGGTCGGCGGTGTGTTCCCCCTTCATCGAGAGTCGAGTTGGACGCAAAGAGAGCACGATGCGTCGCTCTACAAATTGAACCGGCAGTTAACGAAAACTCCCGCTTGTTCGCTGACCAACAACGCGGGCGAGCGATGTTATGGTGCTAAGGGTAGAGTGGATATCCAAGCAGAGCACTTCGAGGAGCAATTTAAGCCGAACCCAGCAAGTCCGGAGTTTATGGATCTTCACGCTCGGCAGGAGAGCCGCGTACAGTAAAGTACAGAGTGCTGCACCTTCTTGCGGTCGAGCACAACCACAGCCGCACATCGTTGGGCGTCTTTCTCGATATCGAGAAGGCGTTCGACAGGGTGTGGCATTCTGGATTACTCTACAAGCTAGAAGATCAAACTGATATCCCTCCTGCTATGTTGCGGTTAGTGGCATCATTCCTCACAGACAGGAGGTTCTACATATATGTAGAGGATGTCGAGTCCACAATAATACCCATAAAAGCCGGCGTACCAAAGGGCAACTGTCTGTCTCTAGTTCTGTACGCCGCTTACACCAACGATGTCCCCATCCTGGCAGGAAACCTGCTCGAATGGGAGGACGACGTAGAGCTGGCGCTGTTGGCAGACGATAGCGCCTACTTCACCTCATCCAAAAGAGACCACATCCCTACTGCCAGGATGCAACGACTGCTGGACCTGATGTCACCATGACTGCATGAGTGGAGGATGGCCGTCAACGTTGGTAAGACGACCGCCCTGCTCACACGCCGCTTCAGAAGATTTACACCGCCACCTAGACTCAGCCAGGAGATCGCGTGTGAGAAGGCCGTGACCTACCTTGGGTGCTGGATCGACAGTATGCTGCGCGTGACCGCGCACGTCAACTTCGTCGTCCGCAAAGCTAGATGTGCGCGGGCGATGCTCCGTCCAGTCCGGGCATCCAAGCTACCGGTTAAAAGCAAAACCAAAATTTACAAGACTTACATTA